GTATTAAGTGTTGCTTTTTATTCAGCACATTCAGGTGCTTAAGAAACAGTACTGAAATAATATAATTCATGGGGGAGTTCAACTTTGCCTGCAGTACATACCTATATAGTTTGTTAAAAGGTCAATAGTAGGCAGCCAAAGGATGACCCTAGTGACTCTTTTTACCTGTAAAATGGGTAATCATGCATCCACTTCTAAAGAGAAACGGGCTTTGGTCATAACTAAACGATTCCCAAAGCATTTCTATCTTCCATGATCAACGTGATAATATCTTTTAAAAAGTTGTCATATTGCCAACGAGCCATCCGAGCAAGACGCGAGGATGGCGAGGCTAAGGCCTAGATCCTGCCTAGATCACGAAAAATCGCCTAAATAAGTTTCCGGAAATTCCCGATTTTTTTTCTAAATATCTCGAAATGTTTTAAATATTTCAAAAATATCTGGCTCCATTTCATAAATATTACAGTAAAAACATAAAAAAAATAGCCGGTTATCTAAAATGGCAACACAAATTTCAGCCATTTTGTTGAACATTAGCTACATGGCACATATTATAATGGAGAATATTGCTGAATCTGATTACAACAGGTCCATATGTGGAGATTTGTTTGAATTTCTGTTACTGAAATGCCCATGCCCTAATGAGCATTGAAGTAGCTTCCTAGAAAAACATGATTTCAGTACTTTTTTCGTAACAAAATTCTAAATATCACAATTTTTTCCTAAATATCATGCGATTTTCTAAATATCTCAAAATCTTCTAAATATCTTTAAAAAAATCCGGATATTTGTATCTAGGCCTAGCGAGGCGGCAGGAGAATAGAGCCGCGCAAGACTGGGTTGTAATAGGCAGAAAAATTCTCGATCGAGCTTCAAAAAGTGTAACCCGTAATTCGTAACCCATAACCTGGGATTAATTTAATAAAACTTTTACGTCGTGTAATTTAAATTTATAGTTATTGTTTTAGAGTCTAACAACAATAGCTACACTTGTAAATAACACTTGATGTAAAAGCTTTATTAAATTGACTCCTGATGTAAAGTAGATTCCACTAAGACCAAGTGGTGAGACAGTTGTCAACCAATCACGGCCCACCTCGGCGGCACGGGCTGATCCTGAGGCTGAAGCTGAATGTGGTATTCACACAAGCCCGCCGTCGCGACTTCCTGTATTTATTTACTTAAATTTATTTGTCAAACCTGGCCCACGCCCCCGCAGTCAACAAAAATGAGTACTTTATGCATTGTCTTAATTTTGGGGGCCATTAATGCCCGGCGCAGTTTTAACGAAGAGAAGCGTGTAAAACAACAAGCAATTCTCACCACTAAAAAGGTCAGATTACACGAGGAGATAAGGAAACCTTGATACGAAGAATATAGTCCCTTCTGTTGGAAAATCTGGTGTTGGGGCAAAAATCTAACCCGCAAACGAAACAATAAGACAAAAAAGAATAACAAGCCTGAAGCGAACGATGAAAAGAAAACAACGCTATTTTTTCAGAAACCTGGCCTGGCCGAGTTTATAACAAAATGAAAATAAAATACCAACGTGCCGTACATCACATCACATGTCCTTGAAAACATTTCAAACAGCAGCGCAGAGAATCATTAGTTTCAACGGGTAACAAAAAGCCTCGGGAAATTTCAAAGGAGATTTAAATGATAAACCGCACAAAGATTTATTTACAAAGTGAAACTGAACCGACAGTAATTTTGTTGCCGGACCGGTAAGAGTAACGATCATTGCATGTTTAGGCTTATGTTTTCCCCTTAAATATTACCAATCGTTTCCTCTGCAAAGCCGATTTTATTCTTTAAATAATACTAATCCTTGCAACATGGAACGACCTTGGGAACCGACCAAGAAACAATCAAATGTTGGAAAAAAGAGATTCCATTCCTATGCAAAATTAAATACGCATGATTTGCTCTTTGCCACTCTATCGATAGGTATACGTAGTATATATATTTTTGCGTATGTTACCTCATTATTTTTACTTTCCTTCTTTCACCGTATATGAAAGGTATGAAGCCAATAAGAGCCTTCCTTCCTTCAATGGTCCCTAATTTCACTGGCCGACAGAGCGAGGTTGAAGAGATCATCGGACACGTAACTTCCGAATCTACCCGACTGGTGTCGATCTGGGGTTCACCTGGGTTCGGAAAAACATCAGTTGCAATTACAGTGGGACACGCGCTCCAGTCTCAAGGGCTACCTGTGTATTGGGTCTCACTACGGGGACTTCAGTCAAAAGCAGATCTGACTTCAAAGTTTCTTTGCCTTCTAAGGCAACCAACCATCGACAATCAACCGTCCGATCGGTGTCTTTCCCTTGACGATGAAATTTGCCAACTATTCAGCGAAATATCAAAACAGTCTGTATTTATCCTTGATAATGCCGATGATTTGTTAGAAAGTGGTTGCCCAAAAGTGAAGAAAGAGGTCATGCAGCTTCTTGAAGAAATACTCAGGCAAAACCCAAGGGTGACATTCATTGTAACCACGAGAGAATCTCTTGAGCTTATGAACATCCATTTTCAAGGTCATCTAGGCGTGAGAATAAGAACATTGGATAAAGCCTCTACACAATCTCTAATTCATGAGTTACTTCCAATTGCGAGCGCTGCCGATTGCACAGAAGTCGCGCATATCTGCGGACAAGTTCCTTTGGCCATAAAATTAATGTGTTCTTTGATTTCTGAAGATAATTCTTTACCACGCCATTTTCTAGATGATTTCAAGGCGTCCTCTTCAGAAAGTATAGCGAGCATGTTGGACATTTTTGACTCCTCTTTCCACAGACTAACTGCACAAGAACAAGAAGCACTAATTTCTTTGAGCATTCTCCCTGAAAACTTCACTACTCAGGTCGCTGCGGCCGTTTTAGGCACCAAAAGTGCTTTTCAAGCAAAAAAGATGTTACAAAACCTTCGGAGGAAGTCACTGATTGATTCAGGCTCTAAACCCGGGACATTCACGATGCACAAACTGTTGCAACAATATTCGAAAGAGAAAGGAGACACTGAGATGGACAAGACGATTCTCAATGCAAAGGGTCGTTTGAATGCATTCTATGTCTCGTTCTTTGATAAACTAAATGAACAATTTCTCACCGGGCATTCCATGGATGCATATATTGCATTTTATGAGGATAAGGAAAGCATTATTCGAAGCATAGTAGAGGGATGTTTTGACTCAGAAACAGCTGACACTGTCTTTGAAATTTTGGTCCAGGGGGAGTTGTTTCTTGACTCACTTTTTTGGACCCGGAGTGAAAGTAAAAACTTTGATGACATATACGATGCCGCCATAAAAGCAGCCAACCTGCATGGAAACGAAAAATACCACAGGGAGCTACTTACTTCCAAAGCTTTCGCTGAAGCAACCTGGGGAAGTAGAGGAAAGACGAATCAGCTTCTCTCTGAAGTGAAAGTTATGCAAGCAGCATCGTGCCTTGTTTCTAATCAGGAAAAAGGCAAATCCTTCTGCTATTCAGGAATCTGTTACCTTACCGCAGGAGAAACGAAGAGTGGAATCCACTGCCTACAGCAGGCGCTTTCATCACTGGAGACTTGCAACGACCCAGAGTCGTTTTTTCTAAAGTTTCTTATTCTTCAGATCCTCGTTTGTTATTATCAGTCCCTGAATGACTTGTACAATGCAAGTTTCTACTATGACAAATCACTAAATCTATCCTCGTCAGTAGGAGATTGCAAGCTACTTATTATTACGCCGACGAAAAGCAAAGCACAAAAAACTACCAATGAAATGCAGTTTAAAAAGGACTCAAACATTTTGCTGAATCAACCTTTCGAATTCCAATTTGTCTCTCTCTTGAGTAAAGCAACAACGTTTTTCCCTGACACTAAAATCAAACAAAATACAAGCCACTTGGTTCTTCAAATGTTAAAGTGCCTCGAAAAAGATGTTACACCTTCAATTGGTTTGCTAACTTTTCACACAGCTGTGGTAAAGCTACTGTGGAAGTTGAATAGTGAAGACCCTGAAAAACTATTTTGGTCAAGAATAAATTATCATGAAAAAACACTCACGCAATGCAAAGAAACTTTCCACAAAAGTCACGACTTTAGCGGTTATGGTCAAATAAAAATTAAAGCGCTTGTGGATTGCTACTTAAATCTGGGTATAGTTTACAACAAAAGAGGAAACTATTCAGAAGCTCTTCAGTCATACAACAGGGCGTTAACCACAGCAACAAGGTACTTTGGAGAAGAACATGAAACCACTGCTAACAGCTACAGGCAACTCGGTGTAACACAATACAACATGCATGACTACAGTGCAGCTCTACAATCTCACCAGCGCGCATTGGCTATCCGTATTAAACTATTTGGAGAGGAACATAAAAGCACTGCAGACAGCTACAGGAACCTCGGTGTAACACAATACAACATGGATGACTACAGCGCAGCTCTACAATCTGAGCAGCGTGCATTAGATATCCAACTTAAGCTGTTTGGAGAAGAACATGAAAGCACTGCTGACAGCTACAGGGAACTCGGTGTAACACAATACAACATGCATGACTACAGTGCAGCTCTACAATCTCACCAGCGCGCATTGGCTATCCGTATTAAACTATTTGGAGAGGAACATGAAAGCACTGCAGACAGCTACAGGGACCTCGGTGTAACACAATACAACATGGATGACTACAGCTCAGCTCTACAATCTCACCAGCGCGCATTGGCTATCCGTATTAAACTATTTGGAGAGGAACATGAAAGCACTGCAGACAGCTACAGGGACCTCGGTGTAACACAATACAACATGGATGACTACAACTCAGCTCTACAATCTCACCAGCGCGCATTGGCTATCCGTATTAAACTATTTGGAGAGGAACATAAAAGCACTGCAGACAGCTACAGGAACCTCGGTGTAACACAATACAACATGGATGACTACAGCGCAGCTCTACAATCTGAGCAGCGTGCATTAGATATCCAACTTAAGCTGTTTGGAGAAGAACATGAAAGCACTGCTGACAGCTACAGGGAACTCGGTGTAACACAATACAACATGCATGACTACAGTGCAGCTCTACAATCTCACCAGCGCGCATTGGCTATCCGTATTAAACTATTTGGAGAGGAACATGAAAGCACTGCAGACAGCTACAGGGACCTCGGTGTAACACAATACAACATGGATGACTACAGCTCAGCTCTACAATCTCACCAGCGCGCATTGGCTATCCGTATTAAACTATTTGGAGAGGAACATGAAAGCACTGCTGACAGCTACAGGCAACTCGGTGTAACACAACACAAAATGCATGACTACAACGCAGCTCTACAATCTGACCAGCGCGCATTGGCTATCCGTATTAAACTATTTGGAGAGGACCACGAAAGCACTGCTGACAGCTACAGGGAACTCGGTGTAACACAAAACAAAATGCATGATAATAGCGCAGCTCTACAATCTCACCAGCGCGCATTGGCTATCCGTATTAAACTATTTGGAGAGGAACATGAAAGCACTGCTGACAGCTACAGGCAACTCGGTGTAACACAACACAACATGCATGACTACAACGCAGCTCTACAATCTCACCAGCGCGCATTGGCTATCCGTATTAAACTATTTGGAGAGGACCACGAAAGCACTGCTGACAGCTACAGGCAACTCGGTGTAACACAAAACAAAATGCATGATAACAGCGCAGCTCTGCAATCTCACCAGCGCGCATTGGCTATCCGTATTAAACTATTTGGAGAGGAACATGAAAGCACTGCTGACAGCTACAAACAACTCGGTGTAACACAACACAAAATGCATGACTACAACGCAGCTCTACAATCTCACCAGCGCGCATTGGCTATCCGTATTAAACTATTTGGAGAGGAACATGAAAGCACTGCTGACAGCTACAAACAACTCGGTGTAACACAACACAACATGCATGACTACAACGCAGCTCTACAATCTGAGTAGCGCGTATTGGGTATCCGTATTAAACTATTTGGAGAGGAACATGAAAGCACTGCTGACAGCTACTGGCAATTCGGTGTAATACAACACAACATGCATGACTACAACGCAGCTCTACAATCTCACCAGCGCGCACTGGCTATGCGTATTAAACTATTTGGAGAGGAACATGAAAGCACTGCTGACAGCTACAGGCAACTCGGTGTAACACAACACAACATGCATGACTACAGCGCAGCTCTACAATCTCACCAGCGCGCATTGGCTATCCGTATTAAACTATTTGGAGAGGAACATGAAAGCACTGCTGACAGCTACAGGGAACTCGGTGTAACACAACACAACATGCATGACTACAACGCAGCTCTACAATCTCACCAGCGCGCATTGGCTATCCGTATTAAACTATTTGGAGAGGAACATGAAAGCACTGCTGACAGCTTCAGGCAACTCGGTACAACACAATACAACATGCATGACTACCGCGCAGGTCTACAATGTGAGCAGCATGTACTAGCTATCCGTATTAAACTATTTGGAGAGGAACATGAAGGCACTGCTGAAAGCTACAGGGAACTCGGTGTAACACAACACAACATGCATGACTACAACGCAGCTCTACAATCTCACCAGCGCGCATTGGCTATCCGTATTAAACTATTTGGAGAGGAACATGAAAGCACGGCTGACAGCTACCGGCAACTCGGTGTAACACAACACAACATGCATGACTACAACGCAGCTCTACAATCTGACCAGCGCGCATTGGCTATCCGTATTAAACTATTTGGAGAGGAACATGAAAGCACTGCTGACAGCTACAGGCAACTCGGTGTAACACAAAACAAAATGCATGATAACAGCGCAGCTCTGCAATCTCACCAGCGCGCATTGGCTATCCGTATTAAACTATTTGGAGAGGAACATGAAAGCACTGCTGACAGCTACAGGCAACTCGGTAGAACACAATACAACATGCATGACTACCGCGCAGCTCTACAATCTGAGCAGCATGTACTAGCTATCCGTATTAAACTATTTGGAGAGGAACATGAAGGCACTGCTGAAAGCTACAGCGAACTCGGTTTAACACAATACAACATGCATGACTACAGTGCACCTCTACATTCTCACCAGCGCGCATTAGCTATCCGTCTTAACCTCTTTGGGGAAGAACATGCAAAAACCGCTGATAGCTACAGGCTAGTCAAGATCACTCAAGACGTCCAGCGAATGTTTAGAAAAGTGAAAAGAACAAAGAGAAATTTACAAAAATATGAATAGAACATTTTGAAGCTAAGTGATTCTTCATGTCTAAAAGGATGATGGGTGGGTGGGGGGTAGCGCATTAGCCAAGTCAAAGTTACACTTCCCCCCCGCCCCAGCCTTGTCAGTAAATCGATACTCTATGTGCCAGAGGCTTTCTATGCGCAGTTTTCGGTTTCGGTCACGCTCGTGTCTTCGGCCTCCGGCCGACGAAGCTCCTCGCCGCACGCGAAGAAAACCTCTGGTACCCAGGGTAACAAATCGAGTAAAACTTTAAAATAACCGCCCAAAAACTATTACACTGTAGAAGAAGGTAAAAGTGATACAAAAAATACAAAAGAAAGCAGGGATTAATAAACTTGAAGACGATTGAAACGGTTTTTTATTGTGGTTTTGGAAAACTTGTTGACCTAACAGTTTTTGAAAGTTCCTTTTTGTTGTTTCTAATTAACGATGATGTGTTGGAGACATGAAGCTGTGATTTTGTCATTCAAAGGTAATTTCTCAAGTTTCATAGCGTAACTGTCATTAGCCCGGGACCAGGCTCCGCAGTGGGGGAAAATGGCAAAAAACGGGGTCAGATAGAAAAAATATCGGCGAAAGAAGCGAGCCGAGGGGTGACCTGGGGAAGGAGAAAGGGCGGCGCCACCCCTTCCCCTCCTCAGACTGCCTCTCAGCTCGCTTCGCTCGCCGATTTTTTTTCTCCTTTTTCCCCACGGCGGAGCTTGGTCCCAGGCTATACTGGCATCGATAAACAAAATGACCTCCCCAACAGTGACACTGCCCCTTATAATTGACATTGAGAAATAGTGAGTAGAGCTTAAAGCCTGGGGCTCAAAGATTCATGTAATATGAAAATTTACGTCATAGCTTTTCAGTGAGTATATCTCAGTACGTATATAATTATACATACTCATTGTTCACCCCATGTAAGGGAATAATCCAGCACAGTCTTGGATTCTGGATTCCACGCTGTGGATTCCTGATTCCAGGTACTGGATTCCAGTATTTTTCTGTAAAACTGTAGAATTCTGGATTCCGATCGTTATTGGGATTCCAGATTCCTTGATCTGTATTCCAGATTCCAAAACTCAGGATCCGGATTCCATAAGCAAAATTTCCTGGGATTCCGGATTCCGCAACAGGGCTTAAAGTTTAAATTTGAGTTTGGGAGCACTTGTGCTATTAGATGTAAATTTTTGGGCGTACTGCCGAAATCTTAGGTGCACAGCTGAAAATTTTAGGAGCACAGCTTATAATGTTGGGAGCATCTATTTCAAAAAAAGAGTAAAAAGCTTTTAAGCGTTAAAACAGTGCTACGTTTACATGTCATCTTTAGTTTGTTACTTTTATTTCAGTCCCGCGATTGATAAAACACAGCCGATTTGATTTAGCCACAGGTACCACTACCGAAAAAGTTCTTTTCCCAATATCTACTTCGTATAACTACTAACTCTTCCCCAATATAAACTAGTGCTATAATTTCTTTAAAATCTTTGCTATTGGTCACGTTTTTGTAATGTATTTACAACGTAAAATAATCTCTAAGATATAGTTTTCAGTTTCGTGTAACTGTAATGCTCTATTACACGTTTAGTCCAAGAAGAATGTCTTAAAGCCATTTTCAGAGCTGCATTACTTGGTTCTTTCTAACCAGAAGTATCAATAATATCCTAAATTGTTCCTTGGAGTGCTTTGGCGTGTTTAATCGTTTTTTTGCAACGGTTTTTAGAGCTAATCATCAAGAATGTTGAGTGTGACATGAAGATAAAGCGGTTTTTGCGTCAACAGATTTAACCTCTTGCGGTGAAAGTCTGTTGGCTTCTGATACCTAAAAGAACAGGTTAATCCGGTTAGCTTTGTTAATTGAAAGCTAGCAGATTCAGTAAAATACAAGCGGTCCTTGACTACCTTCGGAGACAGCCTTTTCCAGGGATTGAGACAGGGTGCAGTGCACAAAGAGAAGTTAGCAGAGTTGGGGCGGCGAGTGGGGGATTTCGCGCCAGTGTCCACAATCTAAACTTCTGGAACAGACTTTCTCAGGGATAATAGGGTGCAGAAAGTACGCGAGCGCGGGTGAAAATCGCCGCGAGACACAGGAGACACAGCAAAAACAGGAAAGGGAGTCACTCGTTGGCGAGACAGAGGAAGAAGAGAAGACGAAGGTCTCTCATTTCTCTCCTTCCACCGCGTGTAGCCTGTCATCGCGGGCAGCGAATCTCACGCGCGCTCGCGTATTTCGTGAGCCCTAATGAGGGGGTAGTCGTTGTACACGGAACCAGTAGACCCACAAAAAAATCAAAAACTTCGCCGTTTATAAACAAAGCCTGTCTACTTACAGTTCTATGCAGGCGGGACCCGGCTTGAACTCATCTTGTTCCATGAATGCGAAACATCTCGTACTGACGATGTCTTTTTTGGGTTTGTAGTGCTTGAATTCGAAAAATATCGCTGTACCTTCGAACGAAAGACAGGATAAAACAAAAAAATTAATTATGAGGAAAAAAATTTTCTTACCATTTCAACGTCTCGAAAGAAAGACACGTTCGTTAGCCTGGAATTAGCGTGCGTAGAAGGCGCTGGTTAAGTATTGTGGTTAGGTTTTACGTTCTCCCTAGTACGCACGCGCGTCCACGAAATTTCTCCGTTCGCCCTTACAAAACCGGCGTCTGCTTCGCAGGTTAACCTTGAATAGTTCCGTCGCAGCTTATTATCATTTTTACCTCTTGGAAGCTTTTCTATTGGTTTTTGAATCTCCACATCAAAACCAAAGTTGATGTATTTTCCATCTTTTCTGTTTGACATGGGTGTATCTTGGGGCGGGGCTACATTAACACTGTTAGCGTCTGCAGGAATGAAAAAACCATGTAACAAGTTAGGCAGTCTCTCTTATTTCTGAGACGAGACGAGACGCCCTCTTTCTGGTGTCTCGCGGTGAACCTCCACTAAAAAGAAAGACTGCTCACGCAGTCTCAGTCTCAGCCTCAGTCTGTCTCTGACACGGTCTAGTGAAGGTGAATATTTCAATTAAGCGCCTCTTTTCAGGGACAGGATAGTTAAGGAAAAAAAAATAGTTGGTGGAGAAATGAAATGATACTGGTTATTTCAGCTTGCTTCCTTCACGGGAGCTTTCCCTTCACAGGTGAACGGAATTAATGCTTTAGGTTCACTCCATTCTTGCTCAGAAGATAACATTCTGGCCGGTGACAAAGAAGAAAACGTTTTCCTGGCTGACAAAATTTCAAGCTCTATAGAATGCAAGCCCGCCACTTTTCTGGTAGAGGGACTGAGTTGAATCTTGCACGCATTTCACGCGCGTTTCACATGTACTATAACGAAAAACGAAGTATAACGCAGACTTCACAATATCGCAATGTTCGCGCTTTCTATGCATGATTGTAAACGTCAGTTAACTAAAGAGCGAAATGTTTTATCAGTACCTTTAACAGAGACAGTGATGAAAGGATTTAGGTAAACATGCGCATCTTTTAGACCGATCCGGTCAATTCGCACAACAAAACGATGAAATCCCTCTTCATATGGTATCCTTGGCAACAACGACCCTCCCTCGGCTGCAAAGCAACGACAGCGATTCAGTTTCTTTTTGCAAAAGTTTAATCAGTGAAAGGAAATATAACTATTGGATGGCAAGATAAAAAATGCAATAGTACATTAACAAATAAATATATGTCAAGAAGTCCCTCGTTACTCTCGACGATATTTCTCACTGGGAGAACGGTTTTGTATGTTAGGCAAGTGCCAAAATTACCTCTTCTTGATTATACATGCGTGGACGACCCTTGCGTTATTGACGTCCCCTCTTGTTTGGAAGAACTAGTCTTAGACGAACTACTTTGTAAAGGCAAGAGTAACTTAAAGTCAACACATTCTGGCCAGTTTTGGAAACCAATTAAAAACCAGTTTTTCTGTGGGGGTACAATGGCTAAACTTGAAAAAAAAAGGGTAGCCATATTTTCCTGTTCATTCATTCGTGGATAAATACAACCACAAATAGTTTCAGTATAAGTACAAAGTAAGCTTACTTCTTTTCACTACGAACTCATGTGCTGACCTGCTGAGGCGACAAATTCACTTCCATTTTCCTCTCCATATCCTGCTATACCAGATCCACTGTTAATATAAATAAAAATGGAGATAATATATTACATCATGGTATGATTTACTGACATGGTAAATATTCCAGTAGAGAATCAGCATTCAATTAGCATGAGTATAAAGCCTTCCTCAGGGGTTAGGGGAAAGGAGAACTTAGAGGGTGGAGGAGGAGGTGGGAGGAGGAAAGACAGAGAGGATAGTCGCTGTCTCCCCTTCACTCTTCTCTCTTCCCTATTTCCTACAGAAATGCCTGATACTCAGGCCAATGTTCAATGAATTTAATAATCACAAGTTAGTAATGAAGATCATGCAATGTGTTAAATTTGGTACCCAGAAAAAGGGGCCTGGGTAGCAATGGCGTAAGACGTGTCCTTGATCCGTCCGCCACATATTCTTTTTTTCCCGGGTGGTAAATGGAAGAACTGTTGAAAAAGATCTTGGAACGGAAAAGAAGCGAGCGTTCCTCTTCAGAGGAGTCGAGCACTTCACCAGAAGCAAAAAAAGCGAGGAGTGATGAAGTAAACTCTCCTGAAGAAGTCGAGGAGCACGAGGTTGAAGACGAAATCTTTACGGTTTTGAACATGGCCGAAGGCTTTCATAAAGCTTTGGAGGAGATAAATCGAAAGCTGGAAAAGCTAGACGCTATCCAAACAACAGCAAATGATGTCCAAACGTCCCTTCAAAAATTGGAAGGAAGAATACAGAAGCTGGAATATTCGCAAACAACCGCCAGCCACGACATTGAGAACTTGAAAGAAAGCTTAAATAAAGCTGAGAAGCAACAGCAGAATTCGACAGCGAGTCTAAAATTTTACCAGGAGAAAACAGATCTCGCTTTAACCGATTTGCAGAAGAAAAATGATGATTTAGAAGCTAAGCTGAAAGAGGTACAAGACAAGAATCTCTATTTGGAAGCCTACTCGAGGCGGGAAAATATAATTTTTGAAAATATTGTGCAAGAAACAGACAAAGAAGACACTGAATTAGTTGTTCGCACCTTCCTCGAGACGGAATTAGGATACAAAGATGCAAGCACCGTTGAAATACAGAGGGTTCATCGCTTAGGAAAGAAGAAGGAAGAAAAGCCCAGGCAAATTATCGCAAGGTTCCTCCGCTATAAGAACTGTGAAGAAATTCTAGCTTTGGGCTCCCGTTTGCGAGGAAGCAGATTTAAAATGTATCAAGATCTACCCTACGAAATAGTAGCAAGAAGAAGAAAGCAAATGGACACTTTTAAAGAAGCTAGGAAAAATAACATCCCTGCATCTTTTAGTCGGGCACAACCGGATAAGCTCTTGATAAAAGGTAAAATTTGGCCAGTTGGTAAACCTCTCGAGATACCAAGATAGGTGAGAATGCTTCTTCATCATGTCATTACTCATTAGGTAACCAAGATCACGTTAGTATCGTTTGACCACATTTGCCACCCGTTATTATCAATTGCTAGATAATTATTTAGGCGATCGGAATAGAGGTTCGTAACTGATGGCGCTTCGGTTTTTCTTATCTGTCTGTAAGATTCTAGGTAAAAGTCCTAGCTTCCCGCCCATGTCCCTTTACGAAGAGGTTTCTTATTTAGTTGTGTTTATCTGTGCATGTTCTGTTTGGTTTCTATGTTTTAATAGCTTAATCATTTGTTTTAGAAGTAAACGCCTAGTGCAAATTCCTATCATACCGTGCAGCGATTGTGGAGCTTTGACACCAGGTGATGTAAGGCTTCCTCTGCAAAGCTGCCCAAGAGAATATCTATGGCTTTGACAATAGCATCACTAAACGTCAGGGGATTAAGAGACAATACAAAGCGTAGAGAGGTGTTTAATTGGCTTCGCAAAAAAAATTACTCGGCATATATGCTACAAGAAGTCCACTGCACTGAAAATACTAATCACGTATGGTCTGCTGAATGGGGCTATCAAGTTATTTTTAGTACTTATAAGAGCAATAAAGCAGGGGTATGCATTCTTTTCAACAACAACTTCGATTTTCAAATAGAAAAAACTTACACTGACCCCCAAGGACGCTTCATTATTTGCGACATTAAAACCAATGAAAAGTGTTTTACTTTAGGGAACATATATGCTCCTAATGAAGACAACCCAACTTTCTTCCTTGACTTCTTTGATCACCTTGCAGATTTCAAATGTGATGATATTATTATAGGAGGCGACTACAACCTTGTATTGGATTTAGAGAAGGACAAGATGGGTGGTCTTACTAAAACTCACCAAAATAGTGTTAAAGTTGTTCAAGAATTCTCTGAGAAACTAGATCTGGTAGACGTCTGGAGGATTCTACACCCAGACACTAGTAGATTTACCTGGAGACCACGTCATCCAAAAGTACACTGTAGGCTCGATTTTTTTTTAGTAAGCCAAAGCACAGTTAACATCACGACCCTCGCAGAAATTGTCCCAGTACAACTGTTTTCTTTGAGGGTGGTGATGAAAGAGCCATTGACGAATATGAATTAACTACGTGCGAAGGAGTTTTAACTGAAAAAGAGTGCCTTGAGGCTTTAAGAGATATGGAATCAGAAAAGACCCCTGGGACTGACGGCCTACCAGCCGAATTTTACAAAGTGTTTTGGAAAGATGTATCCAGCACCCTAATTAGCGCACTGAACTACGCTTATGAAACTGGAAAACTCTCAATAACCCAGAGAAGAGGAATTATCAAACTTATCCCTAAGAAGGACGCAGAACCGTTCTTTATTAAGAATTGGAGACCCCTAACCCTCCTGAACAGCGACTATAAAATAGCGGCAAAATCAATTGCTAATCGCTTGAAACCTCTCCTCCCTGATCTCATTAATTACGACCAGACTGGCTTTATAAGAGGTCGTTTTATCGGAGAAAACATCCGCCTTATCGATAGCGTTATTTGCTACGCTAAAGAAAACAATATACCAGGATTACTTTTGTTTTTAGATTTTGAAAAAGCTTTTGACACGATAGAATGGCCTTTCATTAGGAAAACCTTTCAACATTTTGGTTTTGGTAGTAGCATCTTAAAATGGCTAAACCTTTTCTATTGCTGCCCAGAAAGCTGCGTTTTGAATAATGGAAAATGTGAGCTCCTTATTTCAGTAAGCCTTTGATTTTGTATACATTTGTATATCTCGATCCTCTGCTCATTTTCTCCAGCATTAACCTGGTGTATCTTTTGCTTCACAATCGCTGCCTCTTTAAGACACTTAAGATATAAGTGCGTTTACCGTGATAAGATATAAGTGCGTTTACCGTGAATGTTGGTTTTGAAGTACAATTACTAATTAGAACTGCTTGTAAATAGTGCATTGTAGTGTGAGTAGTGAGTAGGTAGAGTTGTAAGTACTGAGTATTGTAAGTCTTTACATTGTAAACAGAGTAAGTACCTTAGTCTATTGTATTCTAAATATTGTATTGTAAGTAGTGTAAGTATCGTAGTGTTTGTAAGTATTTTTAATTGTTGATTGTTGATTGAATAAATGTTATTTAAAAAAAAAAAAAAATTTGGTACCCAGACACCAGGAGAAAAAAAGATGCACAGCCAAAAGAGTTCAAGTTGTCAGGGATATCTGATGAAACACTGTCTGGAGTGTGAGATATACCTCTAGAATGATAAAAAATGCTTGAAAAAATTCAAGCTGGAGTTCATAATTTTAATTGTTATTTTTTGTCAATTTATGCATAAGATTTCCAAAACTCATTCAAGGTATAGATGATGTTACTTGGCCGCGTGGAGACACAAAATTTCTCTTCGAGTGTTCAAAACTATTTCACGGGTGAGAGCAGCAAACGAGTAAAATATTTTTTAACACAAGAAGAAAAATTTTGTATCTCCAAGTGGTCATGTAATGTTCTATTGATTATAGAAACACCAATGAAATACCAAACCATTTCACTTTCATATATTTTTTCTTGCTGCACAAGGTGCAATTTATTATGTAGCCATAGCAACAGTGCTCTTTTCATTGTGAAGATAACATGTTATTTTGACGTGTGAAGATGTGTCCTCATGCGAAAGCTCACGTGGTATTTCATTGGTATTTATATAATGAAGTGAATTATCAGTGCAGCTTGCACTGAGCCACATTGAACATGTACAGTGTAGGTGAGATAAATCAAAATAGGATGAAGGAAATGAATATCAGAGTCACACTAGCCTCCCTGCAGACGTCCTTTGGGGTTTGTTTGTCATGCATTCATTTCTTCCTCACGGACGTCTGCTAAACACAGCCGACATTTATGTTCACCAATCACAGGCTGTTTAAGGATTTTTGTAAAACGTAACCCGAGCCGCTTGTTCAGATTCACACGATCAGTGAGGCTTTTGATCGGGTGTGCGAGAAATTTGTAATAAATAGAGAGTTAAACAAGTATCAGAGAGAAGCTATCCTGCAAATTTTATAAAGAAGACCAATGAGTTCATAAATTTGCCGACGGGATTTGGCAAATCCCTTATGTATCAAGCTTTGCCGCTTTTTTGCGACACAGTGCGTAGAACTACTGGACATATTGTTGTTGTTGTTTCGCCCCTGGTAAATCTTATGAAAGATCAAGCTACAAAGGTGGCAAATATTGGTATTCCTGCTGTGACGCTCAGTGATATTAGCGAAGAAAATATGAGGGTTGTCGAGAGAGGGGCTTTCTTTGTTGTTTGCGGAAGCCCAGAAGCTTGGTCGAAGATTGATCGGTGCAGGAAATGTTAGCGAGTGACTTGCTCAGTTGGTATGTTGGCCTTGGTCCGCGACTTTTCCAAGCTGCAGCATGATTAAATATTTCGTTGAGAAATAAAATATGGTGAAAAATGAAAGGTCCAATGATTTATTGATTATAAGCATTCTTTCTTTCATTGAAGGAGCCAAATTAAAGTTTGTTGACAGGTAGGTTAATTTGTCATTCTAGCTTGAAGTTTTGGACTTTGGCGGCACCGGGGTCATGTTTACTTAGCTTGTGAATAAATGAAATGCAACGGGAAGACGTGCCTTTTTGCAGAACAAGTTTTCAGATAACCTTTTTCTGCCGCTGGAAGCACATTGCTGTAGACTTAGAATTTTTTGTTTTACCGACTCTTGAGAAAATACAACCAAATTTCGCGTATTGGTGCTTGGTCCGTGACCCATGACCTTGGTGAAATTACATTTTGCAAAAAAGGAAACAGCCTTTGTTTTCAAAGAATGCTTTGAAAATCTTCCCTATCCACATTTCCAAGTTCTCTTTTCTTAATACTTCAAATATATACAGAGTTAATAGTAACTGTTTTCAACCGCGCTGAAAACCGCTCCACGCTCGTGTGAGACACTGTTTTCTGTAGTCTTTCAAAGAAAAGCAGATTGTTTTATACTTACAACAACTTCCGGAAAAACTGTACAGCTGACTACAGCTTTATTGCATTATTTCTGTGATTTTTTCAAAACATTTGAGTTGTCTCAGGTAGAAGATAGCTGTGCAAATAAATAATTCACTTGAAGAATACAAAGACACATCAACGTCCAGAGCACGTTTGATGAGGCTTGTGATGTTGACTGCGCTTTTTCTAAACACACAAACTTGGTCCTTTCCTAAGTTACAGCTGCAAAGAAAACAAAAAAAATCACTTCTTACAACTTTCTTTGGAGTCTCATCCATGCATTGGCATGGAATAAAATAATATTCCTCTGAAAAAGTGAGAAATAATTCGTAGGTGCCGTTTCAGTTGTATCGCAGCTCGTTATTGGCTGATCGTGACACAATAACTAACCGCTTATTGGCTTATTCAAACAAACAAGAACGTAAATGTTGGCTGTGTTGAGCAGACATCGTGGGGGAGAAATGAATGTGTGACAAACAAACCCCAAAGGACGTCTGCAGGGAGGCTAGTGTCACACTGAAAAACACAAAATTAATGCATATTCCATTTTTTTTTAATAATACAAGATAAAGAAAACAATATCGTATTTGAAGCAAACCTTGTTTTCTACTCTGATAGGAAATGGACCACTCCATCCATCATTTAACTTCCTTAACACTACAAATTAGAGATAAGGTAAGTTCTGCATTATTAATCTACATTAATAATATGTAACCTAACATTTATCATGTGATAAATTATACCAGGATAATCTTGTTATTTACCTACCGTCGCCAACTTTTTTGATATCATCCAGGGAGATTTCATCTTCTTTAGCCTTAAAAGTAAATAATCAGAAGTTTAACTTTTAACAGGCCATCTGATATCACGCGATGGTGGGATCCTCAAATCGCACCCGATCGCACAATTTGAGGAAAATCGCGTAATTCGTAAAAAAATGCTCAAGTCAAGTAAAGAAAATAAAAATTCTAACTTAATCAAACACTTTCCCAGTCTAAATGTTATTTAAAGTGATTACCACTAAAGAAAGCCTTGCAAGACGTCTGAAACCTTCGATCACGGTATCGGGGCAGCCATTTTGATTTCAGAGACAAGGAGTGCGGTCAGCGGTGTAACGGCGTCATGTAATATTAAACAAGTGTCCTTTTATCTTGCTTTCTATTTGTGTTTTTCTGGGTCAAGAAAATTGGACAAATTTAACTATTTTGTTTTAAAATAGATGTTTTATTATTCTTTTACATTCAAATTGCCTGTTAAACAACATTAAAGTGATTTTTCTCCTTTGAAAACCTTGTTAAACAATGTAAATTAGCCCTGAAAAAATCGCATAATTTATCGCATAACAGTCCTATCTTATCGCACAATCTACTCACAATTTCACCACATGTGGAATAATTACACCAAGATGAGGCTGAATATGCTCATTTAAATTTTGTCGTGGGCCATCCTGGGCGAGCAAGAGCATGGGCCCAGCTTGAGACCAAAGGACTCGTTTCACCTTGCTCGCTTGCGGAGTCAGCCCTGTAATAAAATAAGTTAATTAGTCCCCGTTTGGGCAAAAGTTATGAAGAGAGAGCAAACCATTAACACTTCTTGTGGAAAAAAAATCCTAAGTCGTAAGTTAACGTAATTTCGAAATATTAATTTTCAAAAACAATATTATATATGGTAGAAGGGATTTTGCACGCGCCCCTAACCCCGGGCCTTAGCCTGCTTACGTAGGTGGCGGCAATTTTGTGAGGATTTCGTTTGTGCTTTGTAAAGAAAGGAATACGAAACACGAACGAAAAACGCACCAAAAAACCGCGTGCTTCACACCCAAGGTTACTCAGGCCTATAGTCCCAGCTCCACTGAAACTTTTCTAGCGTGCCCATCTTCCCTGGGGTATGTGTTGGACACTTTGAGGTACTTGCAGCTTTCCGAAGAGAAAATGACACTTATCCCGAAAAGGTGAGAAAACTCCGCGCGCTAAGCGCCCGAACCTCAGTATTCGAGGAGAATACTCGTTTACCAAGGCTTGACGAATTAATCAAAACAAAACGTATCTCGAGGCTCTTCTCCCCTTCTACTTAATAGTTGATTGCACAAAAATTTAATTTTTATTTAAAGGGTGCTTTCGATCGGGAAATCTTGATTTGGTTTTTAAAATACGGGTTTTAAAAAACAAATTTCTACAGGATTTCAACTTTGACAACTCCTTCGTCAAGATGAATTTTAAAGAAATCCAAATCCTGATTTCATGGATTTCCTTTTCTACCATTTTTTTGAGATTTGCAAAACTATTCTCGTCATCAGTGGTCGTTTCTTGGCGCATTATCCTTACGCGTGGGAGATCGCTGTTCTTGAGAACAGTTTTTTTCAAATCCATTTTCAGCAGATTTCCCTATAAAACCGAAAGAAAGAAAATCCAAGGACATATTTCTTAGCGTTCAAATTCGTGTTTTGATTTTGCGTTTCGTTGCAAATCCGAAATCCGGATTTCTAAATCAAAATCCAGATTTCCCAATCGGTCATGTTTGATGTCTTCTAAGAACACGTGATTTCTCCCTCATTTGACACCCCGTTCTCACCTGACGCTGAATAAAAATGGAGCAAAGGTAACAGCCAAAGCCCACGGCTTTGTACGTTGCTCCAGGTGGATTCGTTAATTTACAGTCACAGGTAACTCCCTCTCTTTGTTTTTCCTTTGACAATGCGGAGGGGGGGGGGGGCGGCTACACGTACTCTAGGCTAGTAATGATTTGTCTAGACTGTTTATCTTGTCTCTAACAAGAACATTGATCATTGCCACTGATAATTGTTTGTTTCAGGGAAAGTAACTGAGAAACACAAGCCCCCACTGAGTCTGCCTAGGAGTGAATTGATTTCCATCACAAAAGACCTTAAGCTGAATGATTTCCAACGAGGCAACCGAGCTAAGAAGCGAGGTTGACTCGGTGGCAGAATTATAACGCCGCGCAATGTGGGCAAAAACTCTCAAATTCTGCGTAACCCTCTAACATTTGCATTTTTGATCATATTTGGGTGTAAGTAAGACCCCATATTTGGGTAGTGACGTCATGGTCTTGTATTTACAACTCGTGGTCCGAAATTGGGTGATTCAGTGTGCAGCTGTTCGTTGTCTGTTCAAGAGGACCTAACAGGTGAGCAAGCCTTAATAAGATTTCTAGTTTGAAAGGGCAATTTATATAGTGTTCTGGTTTGCTTTATAAATTGCGTTTAAAGCAGCAGCTTTAAAAAATAGGGTTTTATGCTCAAATTTTGTCAGAACCAGGTTGTTCTTTGCAGCTCGATTTACATTGAGGTAGCGTGTTCGCTTCTCGACTCAGAACCAGGGTTTTCAATGTTCTCTTTTCCTTTGTGAATTGAATTTTAAGCGGTAGTTGATCAAGGCATAGGGTTATATTCTCAAAACTTTTATCAGAACCAGCGTGTTCTTCGCAGGTCGATTTACATTGAGCCAGTCCTCACCTCCCGTGAGGAGTGCAACGTATTTGCTGACCCTTTATTTTAGAATTTATTCGAGAGATTTTGTCAACCAGCATGTTTTTTTGCTGCTCGATTTACATTGAGACAGCCCAAAACTCCCAGGCGGAATGCAACGAATTTGCGGACCTTTTGTTTTGAAGACTATCATTATGCCTTTCTCTTTGTCCTGTGACATTCGCTCATTAGATCTTTGTATTTTATTCAAGTTTCTATTTTTATACCTCTGATACATTCCGCCCCATTCTTGCGCTTTTCACACATTTTACTTTACACCAATTTTCTCTTACGTATATTACCACGGGAAACATTTTAACTTCTTATCCCTGGTAACGCTGTTGCTCGCAATTAAATTATTGTTTATAATTTCAGCAGTCAAAGGCCTCATTTGAAGTATCTTTTTCTTTCTAACGTTTATAGTTTTGATACAATTGAATTTTCCAAGAAACATAAGTACTAACTTGCTCATATTTACCAACAAAGTCTCAAGCCATGATGTTATTGTTTGATAATATGCCATTTGCACGATGGCGTCATTTTACTACTGCGACCAGAATTCTTTTCGTTTTTCTTTTCATATTTAAATTTGGCAGCCCCAGTGAGGTTTAAATAACAAAAGCCCTAATTTGCACAAGAAAGCAAAACTCTGAAGGATCCTGGTCATAGTAGTAAAATGACGCCATCATGCAAATAGCCTATTAAAAAGTGAAAGCCTACAATGTGTTAAAGTTGTTGTTTTGAAGTTGGGTGCCATCCTTTTCTATAGCGGAATCTATTTTAAACCTCTAAAATTATGAAACAAAAAAAATATATATATATATATACATATATATCGCGAAGATCTGAATAGGCACATTCCACAAAAGATAAACGAATTCGCCTCGTTGGCACTTGCCGGAAGGTACCCCTAGTTTAGTCACTGATATGCGATTAAGCGACTCGTAAGAATCCATCGAATTATTTACGAGTTCTCCCACTAAATGAAGTCCACAATTGTTTAAATGGTATAATTCACATACACTTGCAATTCACAATATTTGGTGACGTTGGGTTCATCTCGCGATCTTTGCATGGAATACGAATGCTTTAACTTTTATCCTGCTTTTATTAATAACGTCACAGACTGTTTTTATTCTCATTTCTCATAATAATAATAATAATAATAATAATCTATGTAGCGCTATTCAGCTACTCTTTCATAGCGCTTTACAATGATCAGGTTAACGTAGAACCTAAATTAAAAAGCTAAAAAATATAATAAAATACCGAGATAAATTAGTTACAAAGCTTAAAAAATATATACATTATACAAAAAATGAAAGTTAAAAATCTAAGATCTAAAAATACTAAGATAAAATTACAGATAATGAAAGAAACAAAAAAACGTGTATTAAAAATAAAAGTTAAAAACCATAGGCTTCTTTAAAAAGATAAGTCCTCAAATGTCTTTTAAAAATAGCGATCGATGGAGATTTACGAATGCTAAGAGGCAAGTTATTCCAGTGCCTTGGCGCAGCAATGCTGAACGCCCGATTTCCATAAGTCTTTAGTTTAGCCAGTGGCAGTGAGCAGTTCTTGCCCACTGGAGCGTAAAGACGGAAAGCACTTACCATGGCTCAGGAGACTAGAAATGTAAGAGGGTGCTTTGCCATTGAGTACTTTATAGACTAATAACAGGAGCTTAGAAATAATACGTGAATGTACGGGGAGCCAGTGTAGCTTGAACATTATTGGGGTAATCGAATCACACTTCCTTGTTAACGTGACAATGCGAGCCGCCGTATTCTGAACACGCTGTAGTCTACAAACTAAGTATTTTGGAATACCATATAGAAGTGAATTACAGTAGTCAAGCTTAGAACTAATAAAAGCATGGATAAGAATTGAGCACAGTCCTGGGTGAGATATTTGCGGATCTTTGATATATTCCTGAGATGATAATTTGCCTCACTACATATCTTTTTTACATCTTGTTCCATGCAAAAAATTCGTTCCTCTACTTTATGACTCTGTAACGCAGTACGATTGGACTCGAAAAGCAAACAGTTTAAACAAAAGTTTTGTCTTTCAATCGAATTTATTATTTCATACTTGTTGTGCCATCTTTTGACTCGAATATTCGATTTGTGTACTTTCGCGCCAAAGTTGCGCTGCGCGAATAAATTTTCCCGCCATATATTTTTTGTATTTTGTAGCCTGAATTGCACGAACTCCTTCCTTGTTTTTGTGAATATCATAAAAGATAAACCCTCTCAACGGAAAAACACTCAGCTACCTAAGAGCAGAAACATGTATACTTCGACCTACTGGCTTATCAGTTAAAGAAATGACTAGAAAAAATGGAAAAATCCGAATGTTGGGTGGTAAGATGGTCATAGGGAAATGGAGGTTTTAAAGACAAGAAACAAGGGGTAAGACCGCAAGTCCTGAATAAAAGCGCTAAAATAGTTTTAAAGAAGGCTAGGTACAAAAGAGGAAACCCGACGAGGTAGCTGTCACAACAGTTAGCAAGTGTGGAGCGCGGTTCATGAAAAGTAAAGTTTGGAGACCCCTGCGTTGGCAAAAAAAAAAACCCTGAACCTACAATTGTAGTCCGCCAAGCAACGTTCAGCTTGTCTGAAATTTGTAAAGAAGGACAAAAGCTTTACTGTGGTAAAGGGCCGGGATGATTATCTTTTCTTGGATCAATGCCCCAAATATTTTTTTTCAGCTGCCTAATGTAAAAAATTATATTGTTTGGGAGTCCAAGTGTCTTCTGCATACCAGGCGATAAAAACGCTTAAAATGAATCATCTGGGGCTCTACTAGCCTGTTCCAGGCTCCGAGATAGTGGTGAAAAGTCGTTCAGTAAAAAGAAATGAGAAAAACGCGCGGGAGCTGGGGAGAGACGGGGCTTCCCGCCGCCACCGCCCCCTTTCCCTAGTCGCGCGCGTCTTATTTTCGCTTTGCTCGTTTAATACGTCCCCACTATACTATCTGAGAGCCTGGCACAGGCTAGGGCTCTACACGCAGCATGACTTATCCCACTCAATGCCGTACTACAGAGTGTGAAAAAAACAACAACAAGACAAACCAAAAAAAGACAAAGGGGTTATGCGGGTTACTGAACTTCTGAATACATGTTCCCGATAGAGCAATAAACATCTTTTCGAAATTTCATGTAAAAATAAAGTTTTTATCAAAAGTTGTAGCTCATGAAATGAGAGGAACGAACTCTTGGGACACCCTGTAGAGCACTATCAGCTATTATATAACCCTGAGCGAGTTAGTGCGTTACATTCCTCCTATTATCATTTATATTCAGTTGTTTGTGTTTTGCTTGAACCCATGAGTTTTCCCAAATTTCTTATCGTGGCGCAAAGCGTGCTTAAGTTGCTAAACAAACTTCTTAAAAGTCGCCCAAAAATGAGATTATCATTTCCATACTTTGTATCTCCTATATTTATACCCTACATAGTAAGCTTACCGCAAATTACAGTCCTAATTTTTTTTTACCTTCTTTTTAGGAAATTAACAAGAAGGATTGATGGCCCAACACCAAGAGCTTAAGAGAAAGGTAGATGTTCTTGAACTGCCGAAAAAACATGATACTCCACCTCTTGTTTCTATTGAAGTGCCCAAGATGTGTGACCTTCCTAACAAGTCCGAGCCTTGGAACGATGATTGGCTCCCAGTTGACATTCTTTTGTTGACCGTGGAGGACTGTGAGTTCTTAGCATGTTACGCTTTCATGAAAAATCGCTTTAAAAGTTATCACAAAGACCTTGGAATTGTTTACTTTGGAAACGTGGGTGAAAGTGAGAGGGAACAACTGAAGGTCGCCCTTATGAAGTGTTGTGAAGGTTCTTCCGGTCCAGGTAGCTCGCTAATCGTCACCAAAAATGCAGTGGCGCAACTGAGACCTAAAGTTGTTTATTCTGTTGGCTGCTGTGAGAGTCTTAAACCAGACACGGTGAGGTTAGGAGATGTTGTGATATCCTCAAAGCTTTCTACAGAAGCCTTCAGAACTCCAGTGGGAAAAGATATTGGAAAACTCCTTCAGCATTCAAGTGATGGCTGGAATCCACCATTGAAAATTCCAAACGCTCGTGAAGTAAATGTGCACCGTGATGGCGAGATATTGTGTGGAGTGGGTCCACCCAGTGCTAAACTGTCACGTGTGTCCAACTCAAATGCGACTGCTGTTGAATCAGAAGGAGAAGGTTGGCCTTACTTTTGCTTTAAATCTGATAATAATTTATATTATTTGTCTACGGATATGTATCATTTGCAGCTCAAATTCCATTGTAGTCCTCAATATGTTTAACTTAGAGAATGAGCAGCAACCGATATTTATAGTTCAAGCAGTGAAGGTGGAAAATTTTTCAACCCTTTTTTTTTGTTTTGCAGAAAAAGAAGGGGTTTCACCTTTTTGTGTTAAAAGTTGTGATGACTTGCTTCATATGGGTATCTTTAAAATTTTAGAAAAACTTAAGAATGACAAGAATGTCCTTTGCGCAACATTTCTCGTTCATGGCATAGAGGTATAGTGAAAAAAAGGAGATGATCAATTTGCGCGAATTTGAAGAGAAAATGTCACTTACTGCAAAGACTTCATGTGAAGTTTTATGTTATAAAGTGCTCTGCAATTAGAAAAAATTTAAGGGAAAAGTAGTTTATTTTCTTATGCTGTCGTCTGAGGCTCACTATTTGTTCACTATTTGTTGTAGGTGTCTTTGTAGCAGCACATGACATGAAGATTGAATGGGTGATCGTCAAAGGTGTTTCTCAATTCGCCAATGACCTCGACCCTCCTAATAATTTGTGGAAGTCGTTTGCCTGCACGATGGCAGCTTCTCTTGTGTTCAACATGTTAAATGACCCACTCGTTTTTAAAAATTGGCCTCACTTTGACAGTAAGTGTTCTTCTGCTTGGTTGACGGCGTTGCGATGTATAAACCCAGTATGTCAACAACGGTTCGAATCGTCGGATATGTTTTTACAAAAAGGGGTCCACATTATTGCCATTTGTTCTGGTCACAGAATGTGTGTGGGTTGCCCAATGCACCCAAGCCATCCTAAACGAAGGATTCTCTGTTTTAACGTGACGCAATATATGATATAAAATGGTCTCGTATAACGGATAGCGTCTCCCTTAAGATAGTAATGGTGTAAGAAATCGATGTATACGGAAATTAATACGGAACAGACACTTAAATGTGAATAACCGTACCAGCGAATGTCAACACCCCGTTCCTCTGTCGATGCTAAAACCTTGTTTACGGACCAGCAAGTTTAAACGGAAATCCTGTAGCTAATTCCAGGCATCTGTATAGTGGGGGAACAGTGGGTGCAGCGCAATGAAATTGAAATATAAGAGGAGAACTCCCCTTTATTCTCCCCACTTTTGTAGCCGTATGTCTCCCCACTCTCTAAACGCCTCTAACAAGCTAAGACATCCAGTAATAATACAGACACCCGAACCAGCTAACGAATAAAGATCAGTACTCCATGATGTAATTTTTCCTAGTTATATTACTGTAAAAACCAAACACAAATATAAAAAGGCGAAAAGGTGAAATTCTGGAACTTCAAATTTTGTATCCAATGGCAAGTTATTTTCTATTCTTAGACAACATAAACGACAATCATGGGGAGGCAAGTAAGGAATTAGGAAAGATCGGAGGAAGGTTGAATGTCAACTATTCATCAGGAAACACAACAAAGGGTAAGTTACAACCCTACAAACTTCTCCGCGAACGTTTGGTGAGGAAAATAGCAGCTATAAAGTGAGGAATACAATGGAGGTCAAAAGTGTTGGTACCGGGGGACTCCGCATATGAAAGGGGTGTGGATGCTCGTCGTCTTGCTTAGGGGTGTAAATTTCGGATTTTAGTCTCACTTAGGGTGTTCTGGGCAAAACGCCATCATATTTATCCGTGAAGGTCTCGTTTAGGGCTGCACGCGAAAAAATATAAAAATATATATCTGTCTGGATTTGCAAAACATGGCTACAGAAATCTCTCTTATATACCCTCTGACTGATTCTTGTAGTGAAGTATGTTTTTTTTTTCATACTTTTTATTTATTTTTTATTGAGTTTCTCACTGGCTATTAACTTATTACCCCCCACTCCCCCAAAACAAAATGTTTTTCAAAACTTCCCATAATTCTCTCTGTATGTCAGTTTGAAATCAGCGCCCACATTAGACTGAACTCGGCTCTCATATAGTGGGTTGTCTTTGAGTTTTTTGGCTGCCTTGAGCAAAGTTTTCCGGAAGGCATCATTAAGCTTTATGAAGGAACAATTCTCACGTCTGGCAAAGTCTGCTTCGTCCAATATCTTCTGGTATTTCGTCTCATTTCGGGCTACACGGGTGAAAGACTGATCCCGGGCTTGAGACGGAAAGATTGGATATTGCGAGCTTTAATTTGTTGTTGGCAGTAACAAGTCTTTGGCCTCACAAAGTAGGTTCTAGGGTTGAAATCTATTCGACAAGATGGAAATTCATGCTGATTTCTGACCAGGCCAAAGACTCGGTAAAAAATTGCGTGGAAGGCGGGGGCTGTATGTCTCCTTTTCAACCGCTGGTTTACATCCAGAATCTTGAATAAATCGACTGTCAGTGAGTCGAGAAAGTACCATGTGACGATTTATGTGGAGAAAGCGAGAGTTTTACGAAGTAATTTGACCATGTTTCGCCCGTGTTAAGTGTGGAATTATTATGAGTGGTTTTCGGAAGTGTCATTTATTGTGTGATTTACCGAAAGTGTTGACAGACAAATCTCAGGTATGTGCGGTTGAGCTCGTGTTACCAGAATACTTTGTGCCAAGCATAAAAACGCTTCGTGAGTGTTTAGTTTAGGTGATTTTCTCTTAGAAAGCCTATTATGTGCTCAAAGATTGTGGATTCTTAATCTGTTTTCGGCCGACACTGAGCTGTGGGCCCCACGGTTTGACTGACTGAAAGAATACAATTTCTGGACGTTTGAAATGTTGTTTTTTTCATTGCAAAATCCTGTTACTTCTGCGAGAGAACTTTACCGTCTATTGCCAGCAATAATGCTGTCATTTAGTGACTTTTAACTGCTTCCCATTCCACTTAGATGATAGTTAAAATGCACTTTCTTTAGCCACGTTTTAACAAATCCAGACAGATATATTGTCTGTATTTTAACATGGACTCTTTTAGGGGTCCAAAAAAAAAAAAAAAAAACTTGGGCCACGCCCAGATCGGTTTCCTTTAGGGGTTTAATTCAAAATTTCCGACGAGCATCCCACCCCTTTCATATGCGGAGTCCCCCCCCCGGGTTTGGGACCTTTCCAGTAAGCAGTTTCAACAATTTTCAAGGAAGCAGTACAAGAGCGCAAAATCAAAAGATCCTATTGACTTGATGTTGCACATGCATTTACCAGTTACCCAAAGCTTTAAGACTGCATAAAAATGTCTCGCAAAATAACTTTTGTTATATAGTTTTGGGCTTTCATTGTTTGCACCCTGATTATGTGCTGTTTTGGCGGTCGAAATAACGCCCAACTTCGATTCTGGTATGTCTCAAATTTTAATGATTATACTACATGAAAGAGCTGTGATTCTTTTAGCTAGACCTGAAGTTTCAGCTCTGCGAATCTAAACGCTTGCGAAAACTAAAATTTTAAATATAGCCCCTCGGGCCATCGTTAGCCACGTGAAATGTAAACAAAGCGAAACCCGTGTAAACAAAGGAGAAAATCACACCAAAGTTATTTCTAGCCCACCAAAGCGCAAAGAAATGATGGAAATTTCGGTGTCTAAATAGGTATTGCTATCTGAAAAGCTAAAAAGGCGAGATTGTCCGTCGAAAAATATAAAAAGGAAAACAAAACCTGAACAACGAGCAACTGAGAATCGTATCGTAATTCTGAACTCGGAAGCTGTGAAAATGCTTCCGCCAGGTCAAGTCCAAAAGGCTTGAAGAACTGTTTTGGAAATGCCCCAATGAACTATTGACAAACTATGCCAGATGATAGATTTACTTTAGTAAAATGAACATGAACATAATATCGTCGGTGAATGAAGTCTTTTGAATGCGCGGGTAACAAAAAGCCTCGGGAAATTTCCTCGCGGGGGCGGAATTTCTGGGTGGGGGTGTGCCGCTGGGACCCTGGAACCCTTAACCTATACCAGAGCTAGTTCAGCTGAATTTTGCTACCCTATACTAGAGTAAACTCCCCAAATCCCCCCTATCCTAGAGTAGCTGTTTCCCTAGTCTAGATAACATCTTCAACCAATTGATCAGTTTCCTGAATCAAAGAAAGACTATCGTCAACTCGTTGGTACGTTGTTTAGCAAATAATCAATTAGTTATCACCTCTGGTTTTCCCACAGTGAATTTTAGGAAATGATAGAAATTCATATTATAAATATACTATCCTTGTTCTGGAAACACAATACTTTTCTTGCTGTTTATTGCACTTTAGTAACAGTTATTTAAGTACATATTTAAAAACAAAAAAACAGCAAAACAAATAAGCAAACGAGACAAAACAAAAAAGAAAAAAAAAAGGAAGAAGGGAAAAAGAAGGTCTTCAGCAGGATTCGAACCCGGTACCTTGCGGTAAGACCCGACCTCACATAGCCACTACGCCATTGAGGATGTCACATGATAAGTGGTGAAATTTAATGCATTTTATATGGAACTTCCGCCGGCAAACGACCGGGGCAAACAATCGAGCCATAAAAACGACTCGAAGGAATGGGATGAAATTAAGGCTAATTGCAACCAGGCTACTAACAGTAAAAAACAATGTAAACGCATTTCATGGCAATGAAAGAACATATGCGATACAAAGCCGACACAACTCCTCGGCGAAGTAGGACACAAAACATTAGCTTATGTTTTCTTATGTTGACATCCGCTGTTATTTTAAAAAGGTAATGCTCAAACTCACATCCATTTCCCCCCGTGATCTTGGGGAGTCCTTGAGAAGAAGAAGAAGAAGAAGAAGAAGAAGAAGAAGAAGAAGAAGAAGAAGAAGAAGTGCCTTTATTTACCATACATTTCACCAGTCCGTATTTTATACCCAGTCCGCAGTCCGTAGTTCGCATTCCGTGTTTTATACTGACCGCCATAAATTCATTCATACACATAACCTACTACAGTACTACAAGGTACGAGATCAAGCCAGCGTCGAAGTTGAAGGAGTCGAAGAGCAAATGCTCATCTTCTTGTCAAGTTTAACGCCTGGACGGGTCAAAGGCTTTTCAATCGTACTAATTTGAAAGATTCCTGCCTGTCTTAATTTGGTAAGACCTCTATCCTAACCGTGCTGTAGCGCACGATGCACGTTCGCAGCGAGGAATTTGATGCTACCGAACTTCGGCGAGCGCGTGCTTCTTTGGAAACGATAGATCTTCGCGCTCTCGAGTTCGGACCCGATTAATTACGAAGTGCGTCTACTACGAGTGAGTGAGTGACTCATTTGCATATCTCAGTCCCTGCAATAACTCGTGGTACGCTCGCGCGTACCCACGAGTTAAAAATAATACCATATTCTAGACCCAAACGCTCTGATTTATATACCCTATCCTAGAGTAAACTGCTTGAAAACCATACCCTTCACAGCGGCACATACCTATATAGCCCATATATGGCAGTAGCCCGCCATCCGGGAGGAAATTTCAAAGGAGATTTAAATGATTAAACTGCACAAAGATTTATTTACAAAGCGAAACCGAACCGACAGTAATTTTGTTGCTGGACCGGTAAGAGAAACGATCATTGCATGTTTAAGCTAACTGTTTTCCCCCTAAATATTACCAATCGTTTCCTCTGCAAAGCCACAGGAGTCTGACAACCCGTTCTTCTTCGGAGCCTTGATACATGCATAACACCTTAATAATCCTTGCAACGTGGAACGACCTTGGGAACCGACCAAGAAACTGTCAAATGTTGGAAAAAAGGGATTCCATTCCTATGCAAAATTAAATACGCATGATTTGCTCGTTGCCACTCTATCGATAGGTATACGTAGTATATATATTTTTGCGTATGTTACCTCATTATTTTTACTTTCCTTCTTTCACCGTATATGAAAGGTATGAAGCCAATAAGAGCCTCCCTTCCTTCAATGGTTCCTAATTTCACTGGCCGACAGAGCGAGGTTGAAGACATCATCGGACACGTAACTTCCGAATCTACCCGACTGGTGTCGATCTGGGGTTCACCTGGGTTCGGAAAAACATCAGTTGCAATTACAGTCGGACACACGCTCCAGACTCAAGGGCTACCTGTGTATTGGGTCTCATTACGGGGACTTCAGTCAAAAGCAGATCTGACTTCAAAGTTTCTTCGCCTTCTAAGGCAACCAACCATCGACAATCAACCGTCCGATCGGCGTCTGTCCCTTGACGATGAGATTTGTCAACTATTCAGCGAAATATCAAAACAGTCTGTATTTATCCTTGATAATGCCGATGATTTGTTAGAAAGTGGTTGCCCAAAAGTGAAGGAAGAGGTCATGCAACTTCTTGAAGAAATACTCAGGCAAAACCCAAGGCTGACATGCATTGTAACCACGAGAGAGTCTCTTGAGTTTATGGACATTCATTTTCAAGGCCATCAAGGCTTAAGAATAAGAACATTAGATAAAGCCTCTACACAATGCTTAATTCATGAGTTACTTCCAAATGCGAGCCCTGCGGATTGCACAGAAGTCGCGCATATCTGCGGACAAGTTCCTTTGGCCATAAAAATAATGTGTTCTTTGATATCTGAAGATAATGCTTTACCACGCCAGTTTCTAGACGATTTCAAGGCGTCCTCTACAGAAAGTATCGTGAGCATGTTGGACAATCACGATTACCCGGCAAGCCATCGATTACAGTTCATTTTTGACTCCTCTTTCCAGAGACTTACTGCACAAGGACAAGATGCACTAATTTCTTTGAGCATTCTCCCTGGGAACTTCACTACTGAGGTCGCTGCGGCTGTTTTAGGCACCAAAAGTGGTTTTCAAGCCAAAAGAATGTTACAAAACCTTCGAAGGAAGTCACTGATTGATTCAGGCTCTAAATCCGGAACTTTCACGATGCACAAACTGTTGCAATCATTTTCGAAAGAGAAAGGAGACGCTGAGATGAACAAGACGATTCTCAATGCAAAGGAACGTTTGAATGCATTCTATGTCTCGCACTTTGATAAACTAAATGAACAATTTCTCACCGGGCATTCCATGGATGCATATATTGCATTTTATGAGAATAAGGAAAGCATTATTCAAAGCATAGTAGAGGGATGTTTCGACTCCAAAACAGCCGACAATGTCTTTGAAATTTTGGTCAAGGGGGAGTTGTTTCTTGACTCACTTTTTTGGACCCCGAGTGAAAGTAAAAACTTTCAAGACATATACGATGCCGCCATAAAAGCAGCCAACGTGCATGGAAATGAAAAATACCACAGGCAGCTACTTACTTCCAAAGCTTTCGCTCAAGTAACCTGGGGAAGAAAAGGACAGACGAATCAGCTTCTCTCTGAAGTGAAAGTTATGCAAGCAGCATCGTGCCTTGTTTCTAATCAGGAAAAAGGCAAATGCTTCTGCTATTTAGGAATCTGTTACCTTACTGCAGAAGAAACGAAGAGTGGAGTCCACTGCCTACAGCAGGCGCTTTCATCACTGGAGACTTGCAACGACCTAGAGTCGTTATTTCTAAAGTTTCTTATTCTTCAGATCCTCGTTTGTTATTATCAGTCCCTAAATGACTTCTACAACGCCAGTTACTACTATGACAAATCACTACCTCTGTCCTCTGCAGTAGGAGATTGCAAGCTGCTTATTATTACCCCGATGAAAAGCAAAGTACAAAAAACTACCAATGAAATGCAGTTTGAAAAGGACTCAAACATTTTGCTGAATCAACCTTTCGAATTCCAATTTGTCTGTCTCTTAAGTGAAGCTACAAAGTTGTTCCCTGCAATTAAAACCAAACAAAATACAAGCCACTTGATTCTTCAAATGTTAGAGTGCCTCGAAAAAGATGTTACACCTTCAATTGGTTTGCTAACTTTTCACACAGCTGTGGTAAAGCTGTTGTGGAATTTGAATAGTGAAGGCCCTGAAAAACTATTTTGGTCAAGAATAAATTATCATGAAAAAACACTCAAGCAATGCAACGAAACTTTCCCCAAAAGTCACGACTTTGGAGGTTATGGTCAAATACAAATTAAAGCCCTTGTGGACTGCTACTTAAACCTGGGTAAAGTTTACACTAAAAGAGAAAAATATTCAGAAGCTCTTCAGTCATCCAAGCACGCGCTAAACACAGCAACAAGGTCCTTTGGAGAAGAACATGAAAGCACTGCTGACAGCTACAGGCAACTCGGTGAAACACAACACGGCATGCATGACTACAGCGCGGCTCTACAATCTCACCAGCGCGCATTGGCTATCCGTATTAAACTATTTGGAGAGGAACACGAAAGCACTGCTGACAGCTACAGGGAACTCGGTGTAATACAAAACAACATGCATGACTACAGCGCAGCTCTACAATCACTCCAGCATGCACTAGCTATCCGTATTAAACTATTTGGAGAGGAACATGAAAGCACTGCTGACAGCTACAGGCAACTCGGTGTAACACAAAAAAACATGCATGACTACAGCGCAGCTCTACAATCTCACCAGCGCGCATTGGCTATCCGTATTAAACTATTTGGAGAGGAACATGAAAGCACTGCTGACAGCTACAGGCAACTCGGTGTAACACAACACAACATGGATGACTACAACGCAGCTCTACAATCTCACCAGCGCGCATTGGCTATCCGTATTAAAGTATTTGGAGAGGAACATGAAAGCACTGCTGACAGCTACAGGCAACTCGGTGTAACACAAAACAACATGCATGACTACAGCGCAGCTCTACAATCTCACCAGCGCGCATTGGCTATCCGTATTAAACTATTTGGAGAGGAACATGAAAGCACTGCTGACAGCTACAGGCAACTCGGTGTAACACAAAACAACATGCATGACTACAGCGCAGCTCTACAATCTCACCAGCGCGCACTGGCTATCCGTATTAAACTATTTGGAGAGGAACATGAAAGCACTGCTGACAGCTACAGGCAACTCGGTGTAACACAAAACAACATGCATGACTACAGCGCAGCTCTACAATCTCACCAGCGCGCATTGGCTATCCGTATTAAACTATTTGGAGAGGAACATGAAAGCACTGCTGACAGCTACAGGCAACTCGGTGTAACACAAAACAACATGGATGACTACAGCGCAGCTCTACAATCACTCCAGCATGCACTAGCTATCCGTATTAAACTATTTGGAGAGGAACATGAAAGCACTGCTGACAGCTACAGGCAAGTCGGTGTAACACAAAACAACATGGATGACTACAGCGCAGCTCTACAATCTCACCAGCGCGCACTGGCTATCCGTATTAAACTATTTGGAGAGGAACATGAAAGCACTGCTGACAGCTACAGGCAACTCGGTGTAACACAAAAAAACATGCATGACTACAGCGCAGCTCTACAATCTCACCAGCGCGCATTGGCTATCCGTATTAAACTATTTGGAGAGGAACATGAAAGCACTGCTGACAGCTACAGCCAACTCGGTGTAACACAAAACAACATGCAGAACTACAGCGCAGCTCTACAATCTCACCAGCGTGCATTAGCTATCCGGCTTAAACTGTCTGGAGAGGAACATGAAAGCACTGCTGACAGCTACAGGCAACTCGGTGTAACACAAAACAAAATGCATGATAACAGCGCAGCTCTGCAATCTCACCAGCGCGCATTGGCTATCCGTATTAAACTATTTGGAGAGGAACATGAAAGCACTGCTGACAGCTACAGGGAACTCGGTGCAACACAATACAGCATGCATGACTACAACGCAGCTCTACAATCTCACCAGCGCGCATTGGCTATCCGTATTAAACTATTTGGAGAGGAACATGAAAGCACTGCTGACAGCTACAGGGAACTCGGTGTAACACAACACAACATGGATGACTACAACGCAGCTCTACAATCTCACCAGCGCGCATTGGCTATCCGTATTAAACTATTTGGAGAGGAACATGAAAGCACTGCTGACAGCTACAGGCGACTCGGTGCAACACAATACAACATGCATGACTACAGCGCAGCTCTACAATCTGAGCAGCGTGCATTAGCTATCCACCTTAAACTCTTTGGAGAGGAACATAAAAACACTGCTGACAGCTACTGGCAACTCGGTGTAACACAAAACAAAATGCATGACGACAGCGCAGCTCTGCAATCTCACCAGCGCGCATTGGCTATCCGTATTAAACTATTTGGAGAGGAACATGAAAGCACTGCTTACAGCTACAGGCAACTCGGTGTAACACAATACAACATGCATGACTATAACGCAGCTCTACAATCTGAGCAGCAGGCACTAGCTATCCGTATTAAACTATTTGGAGAGGAACATGAAAGCACTGCTGACAGCTACAGGCAACTCGGTGTAACACAACACAACATGCATGACTACAACGCAGCTCTACAATGTGAGCATCATGTACTAGCTATCCGTATTAAACTATTTGGAGAGGAACATGAAAGCACTGCTGACAGCTACAGGCAACTCGGTGTAATACAAAACAATATGCATGACGACAGCGCAGCTCTGCAATCTCACCAGCGCGCATTGGCTATCCGTATTAAACTATTTGGAGAGGAACATGAAAGCACTGCTGACAGCTACAGCGAACTCGGTGTAACACAATACGACATGCATGACTATAACGCAGCTCTACAATCTGAGCAGCATGCACTAGCTATCCGTATTAAACTATTGGGAGAGGAACATGAAAGCACTGCTGACAGCTACAGGCAACTCGGTGTAATACAAAACGATATGCATGACGACAGCGCAGCTCTGCAATCTCACCAGCGCGCATTGGCTATCCGTATTAAACTATTTGGAGAGGAACATGAAAGCACTGCTGACAGCTACAGGGAACTCGGTGTAATACAACACAACATGCATGACTACAGTGCAGCTCTACAATCTCACCAGCGGGCATTAGCTATCCGTCTTAAACTGTTTGGGGAAGAACATGCAAACACCGCTGATAGCTACAGGCAAGTCAAGATCACTCAAGACGCCCAGCGAAAGTTTAGAGCAGTGAAAAGAACAAAGCGTAATAGAAAGTGCGTAATCGCGTAACCGCCATTAGCCCGGGACCAGGCTCCGCAGTGGGGGAAAAAGGCAAAAAAAACGGGGTCAAATAGGAAAACTCGGCGAAGGAAGCGAGCCGAGGGGTGACCTGGGGAGGGGGAAAGGGCGGCGCCACATTTTCCTCTCCTCAGACTGCCTCTCGGCTCGCTTCGCTCGCCAATTTTTTTATCCTTTTTTCCCACTGCGGACCCTGGTCCCAGGCTTAACTGGCATCGATAAACAAAATGACCTCCGCAAAAGTGAGACCGCAACTTAAAATAGACATTGAGAAATAGTTAGTAGAGCTTAAAGCCTGGGGCTCAAAGATTTATGTAATAAGAAAATTTACGTCATAGCTTTTCAGTGAGTATATCTCAGTATGTATATAATTGTACATACTCATTGTTCACCCCATGTAAGGGAATAATCCAACACAGTCTTGGATTCTGGATTCCACGCTGTGGATTCCGGATTCCAGGTACTGGATTCCAGTATTTTTCTGTAAAACTGTAGAATTCTGGATTCCGATCGTTATTGGGATTCCAGATTCCTTGATCTGTATTCCGGATTTCAAAACTCAGGACTCCGGATTCCATAAGTAAAAATTTTCTGGGATTCCGGATTCCGCAACAGGGCTTAAAGTTTAAATTTGAGTTTGGAAGCACTTGTGCTACTAGATGTAAATTTTTGGGCGCACTGCCGAAATTTTAGGTGCACAGCTGAAAATTTTAGGAGCACAGCATATAATGTTGGGAGCATCTATTTCAAAAGAAAAAGTAAAAAGCTTTTAAGTGTTAAAACATTGCTACGTTTATATGTCATCTTCAGTTTGTTACTTTTATTTCAGTCCCGCGATTGATAAAACACAGCCGATTTGCCAAGCAGTAATGCCGTTGTGATTTTTGATACTAATTTCCCTTTTTGACAGTGCAGTTGTGACTAAAGAAAACTTACACTTGAAAAAAAAAAATTCAAAACTGAAAACAGTGAGTATGTCGAACGAGAATGAAAATTTATCTTTAATGAATTTTTTAAATGCGCAATGACTTACATGTAACTGGGATATGAGTTAAAAACTTTCTTGCCTGGAAAAAAAGGTTCTTAATCCGCCCTGTTTTTGTTTTGATTGACCTTAAAACTGAACTTTCGACATGATCGTTCATTGCGCAAAACGCACGTGTTTCCTTTGTAGCATATTTGCACGTGTCAGCGGCGTTTATTACAAAAGAGAAGAGTCTGGAATGGAGTAAAACATCGAGACGAAAATGAACATTCGAGTTCGTGGAATCCATTGGGAGAAAAGACGAATTAAACATACACAGATGAAAGGAAAACAATGTAACTTATTAAAGCAATTTTTGGATGACCTTGAAATAAGAACCCGGGAACAAAACAGAAACAACAAACGAGTGGAAAGAGCGATTTGATTGGTTTATCGAACGGATACAAACGCGCGTGGGTGAAAATACTTCATTCCCGAGAACTTTCTAGAAATCAACCGATACTTCGCTTTGACGTCATACTGCAACACGATTGGCCAATCGAGCTATGCCCTCTCCATATTATGGTTTCTTTGGCGGGAAAACGAAGAAGCCATGTTTTGGTCTTTTCATCCTTTGGCTGGTAAAACAAATAACGAACACGTACCGAGGTCAAGGTCATACGAAAATCACTCTATCTGAAAAGTACATGCGCGTTCCCGCGCGGCTCGTTTCACTCGCCCACTGATGGATAACTTGTTCGCAGGCCGGCGAAACATTTAAATACCCCTCTGCCGTAAATAAGCTAAGTCACGAATTTTCAGTTTTACTTTAAAACCCTGACAAATGATAATCAAAGAAAAACAGAAAGATAACGGCTTAGTTTCATTTAAAGTTACTCTACTACTTTGAGTGTGTGCCTGAAACTTTAATGAGAGTACATCGTTTTCACATGACGTCACGGCGGCCATATTTGTGTACAAAACAATGAATCGGCGGCCATGTTTGTATACCAAAAAAATTCTTTGGGAATTGAACTGCTTTCACATGTTAAATCTTTCTTTTATTCCAAGCAATTTGCAAAGCTGCTGACCACGTGACCAAAAACGATCTATAAAGATAATTTAAAGGCAAATAAATTTACCCAATAAAACTCATGTAATCTCCACAGCCGTACAGTTAGCAGGCTCGTTTCTCTAATTACATGTGCACCTGTGTTAAAATAAACCTATTTGCAAAAATTCTATGTCAAGCTGTTATATTTTTCATAATTAACTATCGAATCATGTCAATCTGTGGTGAAATTGATCAGCAGAGCCTTAATATTAGTGTTAACACCCCTCATTTTAAATTGTGAGGAATACAGTGGAATTCTGACGTTTGGAAACGTCATTTTACGCCCTTCAATGTTGTTTATTTATTTATTTATTCATTTATTTATTTACAGATTTAGCATAATAAACATGTAACCTACTCAGACGTATTATACATTTTAAAGAAGCAATAGGTCACTATTTAAATCACCTACGAGTTTAACCCACCCGCAATTTATAATTTATAGGCAGCTGAGTAGAAATTCCATGGACTTGTTTGCTGTTGCTAGATAAACAGTGTTCTTTTACCCTTTGTTTTCCAAGCTAATCCAGTGCTGTGTTTCTTGGAAGGTTGGAAATATGGGGATTCCACTCTATAATAAATGCAATCTCTTGAGCAACAGTCAAGAAAATTGTTTGATGAACTCTTAGCTATAGTTACCACTACCGAAAAAGTTCTTTTAAAAATTTCTGCTTGGTACAACTACTAACCCTTCCCCAATATAAACTACTGCTATAATTTCTTTAAAATGTCTGCTAGTGTTCACGTTTTTGTCATGTATTTACAAAGTAAAATAATCTCTAAGATATAGTTTTCAGTTTCGTGTAACTGTAATGCTCTATTACATGTTAAGTTTAAGAATAATGTCTAAAAGCCATTTTCAGAGCTGAATTACTTGGTTCTTTCTAACCAGAAGTATCAATAATATCCTAAATGATTCCTTGGAGTGCTGTGGCATGTTTAATAGCTTTCTGTGCAACGGTTTTTAGAGCTAATCGTCAAGAATGTTGAGTGTGACATGAAGATAAAGCTGTTTTTGCGTCAACAGATTTAACCTCTTGCGGTGAAAGTCTGTTGGCTTCTGATACCTAAAAGAACAGGTTAATCCGGTTAGCTTTGTTAATTGAAAGCTAGCAGATTCAGTAAAATACGAGCGGTCCTTGACTACCTTCGGAGACAGCCTTTTCCAGGGATTGATAAAGTGTGCAGTGCACAAAGAGAAGTTAGCAGAGATGGGGCGGCGAGAGGGGGGTTTCGCGCCACTGTGCACAATCTAAACTTCTGGAACAGACTTTCTCAGGGATAATAGGATGCACAAAGTACGCAAGCGCGGGTGAAAATCGCCGCGAGACACAGGAGACACAGCAAAAACAGGAAAGAGAGACACTTGTTAGCGAGACAGAGGAATAGGAGAAAACAAAGGTCTCTCATTTCTCTCCTTCCACCGCGTATAGCCTGTCATCGCAGGCAGCGAATCTCACGCGCGCTCGCGTATTTCGTGAGCCCTAATGAGGGACTAGTCGTATTACACGGAACCAGTAGACCCACAAAAAATCAAAAACTTCGCCGTTTATAAGCAAAACCTTCCTACTTACAGTTCTATGCAGGCGGGACCTGGCTTGAACTCATCTTGTTCCATGAATGCGAAACATCTCGTACTCACGATGTCTTTTTTGGGTTTGTAGTGCTTGAATTCGAAAAATATCGCTGTACCTTCGAACGAAATACAGGAAACAACCAAAAAATATTGTTAATTACGAGGAAAAAATTTTTTCGTACCATTTCAACGTCCCGGAAAACAGACACGTTCGACAACCTTGAATTGACCACTCCAGGAAATACCATAACATACCATAACGCTCTTTGTTTGTCATCCCAAAATTTTGCATAAGCATTGTCTTCAGTTTCTCTTGGGAGTTAAAATGGCCCCAAGAGAAACTGAAAACAATGCTTATGCAAAATTTTGGGGTGATAAACAAAGAGCATTATGGTATGATATGGTATTTCTGGAGTGGTCAATTAGCCTACGTGGAAGGCGATGGTTAATGTTTTTGGTTAGGTTTTATGTTCTCCCTGGTGAGCGCAGGTCCAAGAAATTTCTCCCTTCACCCTTAAAAAACGGGCGACGGCTACGCAGGCTAATTTTGAATAGTTATGTGTTCGTTCAGAAGTATGGCCTGACTGTTAGAAGGGTGGTGGTTGGTAGATTGGTTCGTCTTTTTAAAATTTCTTTTCATCATCAATTGGTTTGATCAAGAGGCCACCGCTTTCGGTTGGTTTTATACTAACGTCTCTTTGTAATGTCAAACACTTTAAAACGAACTGATTATTTTTAAGATTTTACGCGATATTTTGATTCAACATTTTGTGTTGAAAGCAAAAAATCTCATGGTCATTTGGTAACAGCGCGCGTTGTCATTGGCTTCTTTGCGGTCACGTGCCTGAAGTCTTTGAGCAGGAAAAACAATCGCATTGAATTGTTACGCGGAAATGTTTACCGCTGCTTTGTTTTCGAAGCTCATACTTTGATCTGTTGCGTTGGTTGTGATATTTAACACATCAGCTACTTAATGATTGGAATTTTTGAAAGCTGGTAATGTTTGCTTTCCTGTAACCCAAATGTTTCCCCACGACGAAAATATTTAGATCCCTCCCTGGGGACAAAGTAACTAAATAAAATATTTGTTTTCTTTGGAACCTGACAAAAAGTGCCAAAAAAGCCATTTTTTTGGCTACGTTTTGGTTATCCGTAATTCAAAGCATGAGATTCAAAAAATGGCCTAGGGGTGGTGGGGTAGCGGCTTCCCAGACTACCCCCGCCCCCTATTTCCGTCACAGCTTATTATCGTTTTTAATTCTTGGAAGCTTTTCTATTGGTTTTTGAATCTCCACATCAATACCAAAGTTGATGTATTTTCCATCTTTTCTGTTTGACATGGGTGTATCTTGGGGCGGGGTCACATTAACACTGTTAGCGTCTGCAGGAATGAAAAAAACATGTAACAAGTTAAGTAGTCTCTCTTATTTCTAAGACGAGACGAGACGCCCTCGTTTCTGGTGCCTCGCGGTGAACCGTCACGAAATCTGAAGAAAAAGAAAGACTACTCACGCAGTCTCAGTCTCAGCCTCAGTCTCTCTCTGACACAGTCTAGTGAAGGTGAATATTTCAATTAAGCGCCTCTTTTCAGGGACGGGATAATTAAGGAAAAAATAGTTGGCGGAGAAAAGAAATGATCTGGTTATTTCAACTTGCTTCCTTCACGGGCGCTTTCCCTTCACAGGTGAACGGAATTAATGATTTAGGTTCACTCCATTCTTGCTCAGAAGATATCATACTGGCCGGTGACAAAGACGAAAACGTTTTTCTGGCTGACAAAATTTCACGCTCTATAGAATGCAAGCCCGCCACTTTTCTAGTAGAGGAACTGAGTTGAATCTTGCACGCAAGTAACGTCCGTTTCGCAAGTACTATAACGAAAAACGCAGTATAACGCACACTTCACAATATCGCAATGTTCGCGCTTTCTATGCATGATTGTAAATGTCAGTTATCTAAAGAGCGAAATGTTTTATCAGTACCTTTAACAGAGACAGTGATGAAAGGATTTAGGTAAACATGCGCATCTTTTAGACCGATCCGGTCAATTCGCACAACAAAACGATGAAATCCCTCTTCATATGGTATCCTTGGCAACAACGACCCTCCCTCGGCTGCAAAGCAACGACGGCCAAAAATTCAGTTTCTTGATGCAAAAGTTTAATCAGTGAAAGGAAATATAAATATTGGATGGCAAGATAAAAAATGTAACTCTCGACGATATTTCTCACTGGGAGAACTAGGGTTTTGTATGTCAAGCAAGTGCCAAAATTACCTCTTCTTGATTATACATGCGTGGACGACCCATGCGTTATCGACCTCCCCTCTTGTTTGGAATTTTGAAGAATTAGTCTTAGACGAACTGCTTTGTAAAGGCAAGAGTAACTTAAAGTCAACGCATTCTGGCCAGTTTTGGAAACCAACTAAAAGCCAGTTTTTCTCTCGGGGTACAATGGCTAAACTTGAAAAAAAAAGGTAGCCATATTTTCCTGTTCATCCATTTGTGGATAAATACAACCATAAATAGTTTCAGTGTAAGTATAAAGTAAGCTTACTTCTTTTCACTACGAACTCATGTACTAACCTGCCGAGGCGACAAATTCACTTCCATTTTCCTCTCCATATCCTGCTATACCAGGTCTACTGTTAATACAAATTAAAATGGAGATAATATATTACATCATGGTATGATTTACTGACATGGCAAATATTCCAGTAGAGAATCAGCATTCAATTAGGGTGGGGGAGGAGGTGGGAGGAGGGAAGACAGAGAGGATAGTCGCTGTCTCCCCTTCACTCTTTTCTCTTCCCTATTTCCTCCAGAAACGCCTGATACTCAGGCTAATGTTCAATGAATTTAATAATCACAAGTTAGTAATAAAGATCATGCAAAGTGTTAAATTTGGTACTCAGACACCAGGAGAAAAAAAGATGCACAGCCAAAAGAGTTCAAGTTGTCAGGGATATCTGATGAAACACTGTCTGGAGTGTGAGATATACCTCTAGAATGATAAAAAATGCTTGAAGAAATTCAAGCTGGAGTTCATAATTTTCATTGTTATTTTTGTCAATTTATGCATAAGATTTCCAAAACTCATTCAAGGTATTGATGATGTTACATGGCCGCCTGGAGATACAAAATTTCTCTTCAAGTGTTAAAAACTATTTCACGGGTGAGAGCAGCAAACCAGTAAAATCTTTTTTAACACAAGAAGAAAAATTTTGTATCTCCAAGTGGTCATGTAATGTTCTATTGATTATAGAAACACCAATGAAATACAAAACCATTTCACTTTCATATATTTTTTCTTGCTGCACAAGGTGCAATTCATTATGTAGCCATAGCAACAGTGCTCTTTTCATTGTGAAGATAACATGTTATTTTGACGTGTATTTATATAATGGAGTGAATTATCAGTGTGGCTTGCACTGAGCCATATTGAACATGTACAGTGTAGGTGAGATAAATCAAAATAGGATGAAGGAAATGAATATCAGCGTCACACTAGCCTCCCTGCAGACGTCCTTTGGGGTTTGTTTGTCACGCATTCATTTCTTCCTCACGCATATCTGCTAAACACAGCCGACATTTATGTTCACCAATCACAGGCTGTTTAAGGATTTTTGTAAAATGTAACACGAGCCGCTTGTTCAGATTCACACGACCAGTGAGGCTTTTGATCGGGTGTGGGAGAAATTTGTAATAAATACAGAGTTAAACAAGTATCAGAGAGAAGCTATCCTGCAAATTTTATAGAGAAGACCGATGAGCTCATAAATTTGCCGATGGGATTTGGCAAATCCCTTATGTATCAAGCTTTGCCGCTTTTTTGCGACACAGTGCGTAGAACTACTGGACATATTGCTGTTGTTGTTTCGCCCCTGGTAAATCTTATGAAAGATCAAGCTACAAAGGTGGCAAATATTGGTATTCCTGCTGTAACGTTCAGTGATATTAGTGAAGAGAATATGAGGGTTGTCGAGAGAGGGGCTTTCTTTGTTGTTTGCGGAAGCCCAGAAGCTTGGTTGAAGATTGATCGGTGCAGGAAATGTTAGCGAGTGACTTGCACAGTTAGTATGTTGGCCTTGGTCTGCGACTTTTCCATGCTGCAGCATGATTAAATATTTCGTTGAGAAATAAGATATGGTGGAAAATGAAAGGTCCAATGATTTATTGATTATAAGCATTCTTTCTTTCATTGCAGGAGCCAAATTAAAGTTTGTTGACAGGTAGGTTAATTTGTCGTTCTAGCTTGAAGTTTGGACTTTGGCGGCACCGGGGTCATGTTTACTTAGCTTGTGAATAAATGAAATGCAACGGGAAGACGTGCCTTTTTTCAGAACAAGTTTTCAGATAACCTTTTCTGCCGTTGGAAGCACATTGCTGTAGACTTCGAATTTTTTGTTTTACCGACTCTTGAAAAAATATAACCAAATTTAGTGTATTGGTGCTTGGTTTGTGAGCCATGACCTTGGTGGAATTACATTTCGCAAAAAAGGAAACAGCCTCTGTTTTCAAAGAATGCTTTGAAAATCTTCCCTATACACATTTCCAAGTTCTCTTTTCTTAATACTTCGAATATATACAGAGTTTATAGTCACTGTAACTGTTTTCAACCGCACTGAAAACTGCTCCACGCTCGTGTGAGACACTGTTTTCTGTAGTCTTTCAAAGAAAAGCAGATTATTTTATACTTACAACAACTTCCGAAAAAAATGTACAGCTGACTACAACTTTATTGCATCATTTCTGTGATTTTTTCAAAACATTTGAGTTGTCTCAGGTAGAAGATAGCTGTGCAAATAAATAATTCACTTAAAGAATACAAAGACACATCAACGCCCAGAGCATGTTTGATGAGGCTTGCGATGTTGACTGTGCTTTTTCTAAACACACAAACTTGGTCCTTTCCTAAATTACAGCTGCAAAGAAAACAAAAAAAATCAGTTCTTACAACTTTCTTTGGAGTCTCATCAATGCATAGGCATGGAACAAATATTCCTCTGAAAAAGTGAGAAATAATTTGTAGGTGCCGTTTCAATTGTATCACAGCTCATTATTGGCTGATCGTGAAACAATACCTAACCGCTTGTTGGCTTATTCAAACAAACAAGAACGTAAATGTTGGCTGTCTTGAGCAGACATCGTTGGGGAGAAATGAACGTGTGACGAACAAACCCCAAAGGACGTCTGCAGGGAGGCTAGTGTCACACTGAAAAACACAAAATTAATGCATATTCCATTTTTTTTAATAATACAAGATAAAGAAAACAATATCGTATTTGAAGCAAATCTTGTTTTCTACTCTGATAGGAAATGGACCACTCCATCCATCATTTAAGTTCCTTAACACTACAAATTAGAGATAAGGTATAAAGTTCTGCATTATTAATCTACATTAATAATATGTAACCTAACATTTATCATGTGATAAATTATACCAGGATAATCTTGTTATTTACCTACCGTCGCCAACTTTTTTGATATCATCCAGGGAGATTTCATCTTCTTTAGCCTTAAAAGTAAATAATCAGAAGTTTAACTTTTAAAGGCCATCTGATATCACGCGATGGTGCGATCCTCAAATCGCACCCGATCGCACAATTTGAGGAAAATCGCGTAATTCGTCAAAAAATGCTTCAGTCAAGTAAAGCAAATAATAAATTCTAACTTAAATAAAACATTTTCCCAATCTTAATGTTATTTAAAGTGATTTACCACTAAAGAAAGCCTTGCAAGACGTCTGAAACTCACGGTATCGGTATGGTCGACCGTATCGGTATCTGGGCAGCCATTTTGATTTCAGAGACAAGCTGTGCGGTCAGCGGTGTAACGACGTCATGTAATATTAAACAAGTGTCCTTTTTTTCTTGCTTTCTATTTGTTCTTTTCTGGGTCAAGAAAATTGGACAAATTTAACTATTTTGTTTTAAAATAGATGTTTTATTATTCTTTTACATTCAAATTGCCTGTTAAACAACATTAAAGTGATTTTTCTCCTTTGAAAACCTTGTAAAACAATGTAAATGTCGTGGGCCATCCTGGGCGGGCAAGAGCATGGGCCCAGCTTGAGACCAAAGGACTCGTTTCACCTTGCTCGCTTGCGGAATCAGCCGTGTAATAAAATAAGTTAATTAGTCCCCGTTTTGGCAAAAGTTATGAAAAGAGAGAGAGCTAACCATTAACACTTCTTGTGGAAAAAAATCCTAAGTCGTACGTAAACGTAATTACGAAATATTAATTTTCAAAAACAATATTATATATGGTAGAAGGGATTTTGCACGCGCCCCTAACCCCGGGCCTTAGCCTGCGTACGTTTGGGAGGGTTTCGTTTCTGCTTTCAGTATTCGAGAATACTCGTTTACCAAGGCTTAACGAATTAATCAAAACAAAACGTATCTCGAGGCTCTTCTCCCCTTCTACTTAATTGTGATTAATTAAACTTGATTGCACAAAAATTTAATTTTTATTCAAAGGGTGCTTTCGATCGGGAAATCTTGATTTGGTTTTTAAAATACGGGTTTTAAAAAACAAATTTCTACAGGATTTCAACTTTGACAACTCCTTCGTCAAGATGAATTTTAAAGAAATCCAAATCCTGATTTCATGGATTTCCTTTTCTACCATTTTATTAAGATTTGCAAAACTATTCTCGTCGTGGTCGTTTCTTCGCGCATTATCCTTACGCGTGGGAGATCGCTGTTCTTGAGAACAGTTTTTTTCAAATCCATTTTCAGCGGATTTCCCTATAAAACGGAAAGAAAGAAAATCCAAGGACATATTTCTTAGCGTTCAAATTCGTGTTTTGATTTTGCGTTTTGTTGCAAATCCGAAATCCGGATTTCTAAATCAAAATCCAGATTTCCCAATCGGTCATGTTTGATGTCTTCTAAGAACACGTAATTTCTCCCTCATTTGACACCCCGTCCTCACCTGACGCTGAATAAACATGGCGCAAAGGTAACGGCTAAAGCCCACGGCTTTGTACGTTGCTCCAAGTAGATTCGTCCATTTACAGCTTTTTCTATGGAAACAGGACTCGGCTTTCATAACTAACTCCCTCTCTTTTTTTTTTCCTTTGACAAGGCGGCGGAGGGGGTTGCGGCTACGGCAGGCTAGCAATGATTTGTCTAGACTGTTTATCTTGTCTCTAACAAGAACATTGATCATTGCCACTGATAATTGTTTGTTTCAGGGAAAGCCACTGAGAAACACAAGCACCCACTAGTCTGCCTAGGGGTGAATTCATTTCCATCACAAAAGACCTTATTAAGCTGAATGATTTTGTCACTGATACGCGACTGAAGCGACTCGTAAGAATCCATCGAATTATTTACGAGTTCTCCCACTAAATGACGTCCACAATTATTGAAATGGTATAATTCACATACATTTGCAATTCACGATACTTGGTGACGTTGGGTTCATCTCGCGATCTTTGCATGGAATACGAATGCTCGGCTTTTACTTTCGGCGTTGCAAGCTACGCCTAGTCGCGTTTGATTGACAGCTCCACAATATTGATCTTTCTAGAGCTTTCTACGAAATCTTGTCATCATGTTCATAGCTAGCAATTTCGTCAGAGGAAAAATTTGGCACTAACAAAAAAGACGCAAGCCCTTGCCCTGGTTGATGCATGTGGATTTGATCATTTAGTACTTTTTTTTCAGTCGACAACAGTACTCGGTTTGCACAGGTATTAAACAGTATTATTTGATTTCGCGTGACTGTATCGCTTGTCTAACACGAACATTGTTTGTTTCAGTCAGGAGAAGCCTTCAAATGAATACAAACCCTACACTGATCTGAGTAGCCGCTGGTGCATTAATTTTTATCGCAACCACCCTTAAGGCTGAATGATTCATCAGATAAGCGACGAAAAGTATTTTTTACGTGGAGAAGGTGAGCAAAACAAGAATTTTGATGTCTAAGCATATTTTACCTGATTTAAAGAAAAGAGGTTTTATGATAAAGGCTACTAAACACCATCTCAAAATACTTTTAGTACATTGGCTGCCACCCTTAAACTGCTGTTAGAGAATACCTGTGAGCACGTTCTTTTATAGGTCATTTAATACCCAATAGCCATGTTGTTCTAGACAAGTGATGGCGGATTCAGCGATCGATTCGCGTTCAGGAGTGGTTCACTTCTTTGTCATCATTGACCAAATTTAGTCTTGATGTCAATGTGCTCATTTCTTTCTACTAAATGCCATCTCGAAATACGTTTTAGTACAATGGCTGCCATCTTTTAAACTGCTGTTAGCGAGTATACCTGCAAGCACGTTCTTTTATAAGTCATTTCAGTAATATCCATTTTGTTCTAAACAAGTGATAACGGAGTCAGCGATCGATTCGTGTTCACTCCTTTGTCATCACTGACTTTTTCTCTTCGACTATCTTGAGTCGGTATTGTTTATAACCAAATTTAGTCTTGATGTCAATGTGCACATTTTCTTCTACTAAACGCCATCTCAAAATACTTTTTAGTACATTGGGTGCCATCTTTTATACTGCTGTTAGCGAGTATACCAGCGAGCACGTTCTTTTATAAGTCATTTAATAGCCATTTTGTTCTAGACAAGTGATGATAGAGTCAGCGATCGACACGCGTTCAGATGAAGTTCACTTCTTTGTCATCATTGACTTTTTCTCTTCGTCTATCTTGAGTCGGTGTTGTTTATAACCAAACATAATCTTGATGTCAATGTGCATATTTCTTTCTAAATTTCTTATGATTTTCTTTGTTAATACAAATCCCCACATTTTACATAGTTGCATTTACTGTACTTAGAACTCGTTATGGATTGATATACTTAGCCTACGTCTCCTACAGTATAATAAACCTTGAGATCAGTCTATGACTTTAGATGTTTCGGGTTGTTTCTCATTAACTACTTGAAAGGAAAACCGAAATTTGAATTACAAAAAGGAACAGGAAGTTAGGTTTGTAATATCATCCCGAGAGCATTCAGCGTAAAATGTCTGCTACAAAGACCTTTGTGTTTGATTCTTTTCAAAAGATTTTTTTGCCAAATTAAATCAACCGCTGTAGCTAGTTCTCACCCACTCAATAGTGTCCTGACCCGAGTTCAAGTCACAAATGGGCTTTGAAAAAGGCTTGTCTAGTATTCAGTACTTTTTCGAGAGACGGAAACCATTTGAAATGTTTGAATTTTACGCGGAATGAAATCCCACTGATCATCTGATAACCTAACTGAAATGTTGCCTAAAACTTTCACTAAAAGTAGCTCCGTATAACCTTGTCTGCTACAGTTTGCGGAAGGGAGAACACTCCAGATCAGATCGCATTTCAAACTATGGCTACCCAGAACAACAAATTCACGAAATCATTATGAAATTATATACTTAATTCCCTGACTGGATGCCCTTGCTGCATATTTACAGATCTTGATCATGGTTTTCTTAATATCATGACAAGCTATAAGTACACACCATCTTCAGAGAATTATTTTGACTAACAATTTGAAAAAACATTAGTTTATGATTATCCTCACACTGCATACCTCTTCGCGCAATATTATGTTATGGTAAAAGTCCGCAACTGCTGAGGCAATCATATAGGCATGCAATAAGGATAAAAGCTGAAGTTGTCAACCACCACCGCAAACACTGCGAAAACTGACTGTGGTCCTGGAGTACCGATCATATATAATGACCATGTTATAGGCAGCACGGCCAAATTTATAGTCGCGGAGCCCAAAGCATTACAACCGCTACAAGGCATTTCACTTTTGTGTCAAAACGTTGGTGAGGATTTTGAAGGGGTTCTTAAAATTTTTTGAAGGGAATTGGGGGAGGGGGGATGGTTTTAGATGCCATTGAAAGATTAAGTATTTGTAACATTATATTATTGATAATTAAACCACTACACAAATGAATAATTTTTATATAGTTCCTTATTTTCTATTTCAATCACTAAACTGCAATGTCCTTTACTTTGTGCAGTAACCAGCGCTATCTACATTATCGTTACCACCTTTACTTTTATCCTGCTTTTATTAATAACGTCACAGATTGTTTTCTCATTCTCATCATCATCATTGTCAACATAATCATCATCATTGTCAACATAATCATCAAAATTAACCCACCTTTCTCTCTTTCAAAGCTTTTAAAGTTATGATTAAGTCCTCAGCTTCTATGTTCGCAAGAGTTAAATCAACTTTTGCAGCCAAGAAGAAATGAAAATGATCAGTAATATTTGGTTTGTTGGCTTTGCATGCAGGTATGCTGCAATCAGAATAACTACAGGTCGCGAGCACGGTTGTATAATCAAAAGTGATCACATGCAAATTCCCATCAATCTGGTAGCAAATCTTTAAAAATCTTCTTTGTTTTACATCAAGGATGGAACTTCTTTCTTCTCTTTTCTTTTGGTCAAGAAGGGGGATGTCAAAAATTCAGACATTCGCTGATGTCTCACCATTGCCAAAGGTGAAGCCGGTGGAGGATCTAAAGAAGCACCTAAGGCCGATTTCTCTCACTCCTTGTCTTTCGAAAGTTGCTGAAGAGTGTGTCGTAGTTGACTACGTGAAATCCGGCGTACTTAATGTTCTCGATCCAAGCCAGTATGGCGCTGCGCCGAAGTCCTCCACAACTCAGGCACTTATACACATGCTTCACCATTGGACCAAGGGATGCGATGGCAACGGAGCAACTGTTAGGGTTACACTCTATGATTATAAGAAAGCTTTTGATCTCATAGACCATAGGATTCTTGTTGAAATAATCAATTGGATCATAGATTTCCTAAGTGATCGTTCCCAGAGAATCAAACTCTCAGAGGGATGTTACTCCGAGTGGGGATCAGTCCCATCCGGGGTACCCCAGGGGACGAAACTAGGCCCGTGGTTCAGTTTTGGTGCTCATCAACGATCTAGAAATCAATAATGCAGGCAATATCTGGAAGTATGTTGATGATACAACTACATCCGAGATCGTTGTGAAAGGAGCCAGTAGCAATTCCCAATTGATTGCAGATACTGTCGTGCAGTGGTCTTTTGAGAATAGAGTAAAACTAAACACTGAAAAATGTAAAGAGCTCAGTGTGCATGATTAGGCGAACATGCATATGAATAATCACATTCATTTCTTACAATACCCTTCTGTTTTGCTCTTTATAAATACTCGCACCTTTCAAAACTGTGGTAATGTCGTGTGTCAATTTAACAAATAGATTCCATGTTGCCGTGTGTCTGTTCAGTAGTAGATCACAGATGACGTCAAAATGTGGTAAAAACAAAGAAGTGGAACACGAGCCGCAGGCGAGTGTGTCAGTGATGTTTTTAGCACATTTTGACGTCTTCTGTGATCTATAACTAAACAGACCCACGGCAACATGGAATTCTCTTTTTTTTTACAATGATCAGAAATGAAAGAAGACCGATACACCTACCTGCCTCGTACCGCTTGACTGTTCGAGGATTTGTGCTAGTTTAGGTATTTTTTATGTCCCGAACGCTACGTTTCGTCTGTATACAGTTTCTACGAAAACTTTTGCAAAGTCTTTTCTTGCTCAAAGCAGAATAATGGCGAAAAGAGTTTGCAAAACAGCGAGTCTCGTAGTGATGACACACGATGGAAACTGTTGTGAAGATTTCTTGTAGATTGGGCATTCTCAAGTTGTAAAGAGCTCTTTTTAATTTTGTCTCCGTTTCTCCATTTTTTTTCTTTGTAAATAGCTCCTACTAAGTTTTTTTTTTCGAGACTTTCACTTGCTTAAGTCCAAAATAATCCCATAACAATTTTCAAAACCGCGTGCCATGTTGAACAAAACCGAGAAAAGAAGTTTCCCGTGACGGTATTCACGTATCTGTACTCTTATAGATCATGGACAACGACCAATTACAGCACGCGTAGCATTCGCATCATTGTATAAATGCAGTTAGACCATTTGTATGTAAAATGCTAAAATATGGGATGCACAAATTAAATTTAAGCTACGATAAACGTGCAACCCAAACGGCATTTTGCTTTACAACATCGCTGCCAAACGAGTTACGAGCGAGCGAATGTTGGGTGGTAAGATGGTCATAGAGAAATGGAGGTTTTAAAGACAAGAAACAAGGGGAAAGACCGCAAGTCCTGAATAAAACCGCTATAATAGTTTTAAAGAAGGCTAGGTACAAAAGAGGAAACCCGATGAGGTAGCTGTCACAACAGTTAGCAAGTGTGGAGCGCGGTTCACGAAAAGTGAAGTTTGGAGACCCCTGAGTTGGCAAAAAAAAACCCTGAACCTAGTCCGCCAAGCAACGTTCAGCTTGTCTCAAATTCGTAAAGAAGGACAAAAGCCTTGCTGTGGTAAAGGGCCGGGATGATTATCTTTTCTTGGATCAATGCCCCAAATATTTTTTTTTCAGCTGCCTAGTGTAAAAAAATTATATAGTGTTTGGGAGTCCAAGTGGCTTCTGCATACTAGGCGATAAAAAAGCTTAAAATGAATCATCTGGGGCTCTACCCCGGAAGCTCTACACGCTACATGACTTATCCCACTCAATGCCGCAACTATTACAGAGTGTGAAAAAAAAAAAAAAAAAACAAAGGGGGTATGCCGGTTACTGAACTTCTGAATACATGTTCCCGATAGAGCAATAAACATCTTTTCGAAATCTCATGTAAAAATAGAGTTTTTATTAAAAGTTTTAGCTCATGAAATTAGAGGAACGAACTCTTGGGACGTCCTGTAGAGCACTATCAGCTATTATATAACCCTGAGCGAATTAGTGCGTTATATTCCTCTCATTATCATTTATATTCAGTTGTTTGTGTTTTGCTTGAACCCATGAGTTTTCCCAAATTTCTTATCTTGGCGCAAAGCGTGCTTACGTTGCTAAACAAACTTCTTAAGAGTAAAGCGCGGATGTCGCCCAAAAACGAGATTATCATTTCCGTACTTTGTATCTCATGATATTACCCTACAAATTACGTCCCTAATTTTTTTTACCTTCATTTAGGAAATTAACAAGAAGGATTGATGGCCCAACACCAAGAGCTTAACAGAAAGGTAGATGTTCTTGAACTGCTGGAAAAACATGATACTCCACCTCTTGTTTCTATTGAAGTGCCCAAGATGTGTGACCTTCCTAACAAGTCCGAGCCTTGGAGCAATGATTGACTCCCAGTTGACATTCTTTTGTTGACCGTGGAGGACTGTGAGTTCTTAGCATGTTACACTTTCATGAAAAATCGCTTTAAAAGTTATCACAAAGACCTTGGATTTGTTTACTTTGGAAACGTGGGTGAAAGTGAGAGCGAACAACTGAAGGTCGCCCTGATGAGGTGTTGTGAAGGTTCTTCCGGTCCAGGTGGCTCGCTAATCGTCACCAAAAATGCAGTGGCGCAACTGAGACCTAAAGTTGTTTATTTTGTTGGCTGCTGTGAGAGTCTTAAACCAGACACGGTGAGGTTAGGAGATGTTGTGATATCCTCAAAGCTTTCTACCGAAGCAGTCAGAACTCCAGTGGGAAAAGATATTGGAAAACTCATTCAGCATTCAAGTGATGGCTGGAATCCACCATTGAAAATTCCAAACGCTCGTGAAATAAATGTGCACCGTGATAGCGAGATATTGTCTGGTGTGGATCCACCTAGTGCTAAACTGTCATGTGTGTCCAACTCAAATGCGACTGCTGTTGAATCAGAAGGAGAAGGTTGGCCTTATTTTTGCTTTAAAGCTGATAATTTGTATTATTTGTCTACGATTGTGTATCATTTGCAGCTCAAATTCCATTGTAGTCCTCAACATGTTTAACAGGGGCACCCAACGAGAGTATAGTTCAAAACCACATAAACTTAGCATTGTTGAACGTACTTTAGTATTTAAACGGTAGATAAAGGCTTATTTTTATCCCCTAAAAATTTTTCATCTGTTCGGATTTCCTAGCTGAAAGTATAGTGATCCGAAAATTATAGGGATCAAAATTTACCTTTTCGAAAAGTTCAGCCAGAAAAAAGGCTCCCGAAAATTCTAGGTGACCTTTTCGGGGTAAAAATCCGTTAAAAATGGGCAATTATATGATTTTTTTGAAGTTCAAAAATCCTAGGAGAGGCAGCCAAGCAAGAAATTTGTCAGAAAATGATCCGAAAATTCTAGACCTCAAATCGTCTTCCGAAGAGATAATTTACCGAAAATTGTCGTTGGGTGCCCCTGGTTTAACTTAGAGAATGAGCAGCAACCGATATTTAGTTCAAGCAGTGAAGCTGTTTTCAACCCTTTTTTTTCTTTTGTTGAAAAAGAAAGGGTTCCACCTTTTTGTGTTAAAAGTTGTGATGACATGCTTCATATGGGTATCTTTGAAAATTTTAGAAAAACTTAAGAATGACAAGAATGTCCTTTGCGCAACATTTCTCGTTCATAGTAAAGGTATAGTGAGAAAAAAGGAGATGATCAATTTGCGTGAATTTGAAGAGAAATTGTAGCTTACTGCAAAGATTTCATGTGAAGTTTTATCTTATAAAGTGCTCCGTAATTAGAAAAAGCTGAAGGGAAAAGTAGTTTATGTTCTTATGCTGTCGTCTGAGGTTCACTTCACTTCACTATTTGTTGTAGGTGTCTTTGTAGCAGCACATGACATGAAGATTGAATGGGTGATCGTCAAAGGTGTTTCTCAATTCGCCAATGACCTCGACCCTCCTAATAATTTGTGGAAGTCGTTCGCCTGCACGATGGCAGCTTCTCTTGTGTTCAACATGTTAAATGACCCTCTCATTTTTAAAAATTGGCCGCACTTTGACGGTAAGTGTTCGTCTGCTTGGTTGACGGCGTTGCGCTGTATAAACCCAGTATATCAACAAGGGTTCGAATTGTCGGATATGATTGTACAAAAAAGGGGTCCGGGCATTTTGTAATTTCCTAATTTGACTGAATTTTGTGACACAGTTCCTTTAACGTGATGCAATATATGATATAAAATGAACCCGTATAACGGATTGTTTGCATTTATAGCGTCTCCCTTAAGATAGTAATGGAGTACTGATCTTCATTCGTTAGCTGTTGAGGGTGTCTGTATTATTACTGGATGTCTTAGCTTGTTAGAGGCGTTTAGAGAGGTGTTGACATTCGCTGGTACGATTATTCACATTTAAGTGTCCGTTCCCTACTGATTTCCGTATTCACCGATTTCTTACTCCCATGGTGTAATTTTTCCTAGTCATATTACTGTGAAAACCAAACACAAATATAAAAAGGCGAAAAGGTGAAATTCTGGAACTTCAAGTTTTGTATCCAATGGCAAGTTATTTTCTATTCTTAGACAACATAAACGACAATCATGGGGAGGCAAGTAAGGAATTGGGAAAGATCGGAGGAAGGTTGAATGACAACGATTCATCAGAAAACACAACAAAGGGTAAGTTACAACCCTAGAAACTTCTCCACGAACGTTTGGTGAGGAAAATAGCAGCTATAAAGAGAGGAATACATCGGAGGTCAAAAGTGTTGGGACCTTTCCAGTAAGCAGTTTTCAACAATTTTCAAGGAAGCAGTACAAGCGCGCAAAATTAAAAGGTCCTATTGACTTGATGTTGCACATGCATTTACCAGTTACCCAAAGCTTTAAGACTGCATAAAAATGTCTCGCAAAATAACTTTTGTTATATAGTTTTGGGCTTTCATTGTTTGCACCCTGATTATGCGCCGTTTTGGGGGTCGAAATAACGCCCAACTTTAATCGCAAAAAGTCGATTCTGGTATGTCTCAAATTTTAATGATTATACTACATGAAAGAGCTGTGATTCTTTTACCTAGACCTGAAGTTTCAGCTCTGTGAATTTAAATGCTTGCGAAAAATAAAATTTTAAATATAGCCCCTCGGGCCACCGTTAGCGACAACAACGTGAAATGCAAACCAAGCGAAACCCGTGTAAACAAAGGAGAAAATCACACCAAGGTTATTTCTAGCCCACCAAAGCGCAAAGAAAGGATGGAAATCTCGGTATCTAAATAGGTATTCCTGTCTGAAAACTTAAAAAGGCGAGATGGTCCTTCAAAAAATATAGAAAGGAAAAAAAAAACCTGAACAACGAGCAAGTGAGAATCGCATCGTAATTCTAAACTCGGAAGCCGTGAAAATGCTTCCGCCAGGTCAAGTCCAAAAGGCTTCAAGAACTGTTTTGGAAATGCCCCAATACTACTATCGACAAACCATGCCATACGATAGATTTACTTCAGTAAAACAGGTAAAATGAACATGAACATAATATCGTGTGCGAATGAAGACCTTCGAATGCCCGGGTAACAAAAAGCCTCGGGAAATTTCAAAGAAGATTTATTTCGAAAGATTTATTTCGAAAGCGAAACCGAACCGACAGTAATTTTGTTGCTGGACCGGTAAGAGAAACGATCATTGCATGTTTAAACTTATGTTTTCCCCCTAAATATTACCAATCGTTTCCGCTGCAAAGCCGATTTTATTCTTTAAATAAAAAAAATCCCTCATTACACGTCAAACTTTTATATGGCAGTTTCGTAGATCTAGAGCCACAGGAGTCTGGGAACCGACTCTTCACCGGAACCTTGATACATGCATAACACCTTAATAATCCTTGCAACATGGAACGACCTTGGGAACCGACCAAGAAACTGTCAAATGTTGGAAAAAAGGGATGCCATTCCTATGCAAAATTACATACATATATTTTTGCGTATGCTACCTCATTATTTTTACTTTCCTTCTTTTACCATATATGAAAGGTATGAAGCCAATAAGAGCCTTCCTTCCTTCAATGGTCCCTAATTTCACTGGCCGACAGAGCGAGGTTGAAGAGATCATTGGACACGTAACTTCCGAATCTACCCGACTGGTGTCCATCTGGGGTTCGCCTGGGTTCGGAAAAACATCAGTTGCAATTACAGTGGGACACGCGCTCCAGTCTCAAGGGTTACCTGTGTATTGGGTCTCATTACGGGCACTTCAGTCAAAAGCAGATCTGACTTCAAAGTTTCTTCACCTTCTAAGGCAACCAACCATCAACAATCAACCGTCCGATCAGCGTCTGTCCCTTGACGATGAAATTTGCCAACTATTCAGCGAAATATCAAAACGGTCTGTATTTATCCTTGATAATGCCGATGATTTATTAGAAAGTGGTTGCCCAAAAGTGAAGGAAGAGGTCATGCAACTTCTTGAAGAAATACTCAGGCAAAACCCAAGGCTGACAAGCATTGTAACCACGAGAGAGTCTCTCGAGTTTATGGACATTCATTTTCAAGGCCATCAAGGCTTAAGAATAAGAACATTAGATAAAGCCTCTACACAATGCCTAATTCATGAGTTACTTCCAAATACGAGCCCTGCGGATTGCACAGAAGTCGCGCATATCTGCGGACAAGTTCCTTTGGCCATAAAAATAATGTGTTCTTTGATATCTGAAGATAATGCTTTACCACGCCATTTTCTAGATGATTTCAAGGCGTCCTCTACAGAAAGTATCGTGAGCATGTTGGACAATCACGATTACCCGGCAAGCCATCGATTACAGTTCATTTTTGACTCCTCTTTCCAGAGACTTACTGCACAAGAACAAGAAGCACTAATTTCTCTGAGCATTCTTCCTGGGAACTTCACTACTGAGGTCGCTGCGGCCGTTTTAGGCACCAAAAGTGGTTTCCAAGCCAAAAGAATGTTACAAAACCTTCGGAGGAAGTCACTGATTGATTCAGGCTCTAAATCCGGGACATTCACGATGCACAAACTGTTGCAATCATTTTCGAAAGAGAAAGGAGACGCTGAGATGAACAAGACGATTCTCAATGCAAAGGATCGTTTGAATGCATTCTATGTCTCGCACTTTGATAAACTAAATGAAAAATTTCTCACCGGGCATTCCATGGATACATATATTGCATTTTATGAGGATAAGGAAAGCATTATTCAAAGCATAGTAGAGGGATGTTTTAACTCCAAAACAGCCGACACTGTCTTTGAAATTTTGGTCAAGGGGGAGTTGTTTCTTGACTCACTTTTTTGGACAGCGAGTGAAAGTAAAAACTTTGATGACATATACGATGCCGCCATAAAAGCAGCCAACCTGCATGGAAATGAAAAATACCACAGGCAGCTACTTACTTCCAAGGCTTTCGCTGAAGCAACCTGGGGACGAAAAGGGAAGACGAATCAGCTTCTCTCTGAAGTGAAAGTTATACAAGCAGCATCGTGCCTTGTTTCTAATGAGGAAAAAGGCAAATGCTTCTGCTATTCAGGAATCTGTTACCTTACTGCAGGAGAAACGAAGAGTGGAGTCCACTGCCTACAGCAGGCGCTTTCATCCCTGGAGACTTGCAACGACCAAGAGTCGTTATTTTTAAAGTTTCTTATTCTTCAGATCCTCATTTGTTATTATCAGTCCCTAAATGACTTCTACAATGCAAGTTACTACTATGACAAATCACTACATCTGTCCTCTGCAGTGGGAGATTGCAAGCTGCTTATTATTCCTCCTATGAAAAGCAAAGAACAAAAAACTACCAATGAAATGCAGTTTGAAAAGGACTCAAACATTTTGCTGAATCAACCTTTCGAATTCCAATTTGTCTGTCTCTTAAGTGAAGCTACAAAGTTTTTCGCTGACACTAAAACCAAACAAAATACAAGCCACTTGGTTCTTCAAATGTTAGAGTGCCTCGAAAAAGATGTTACACCTTCAATTGGTTTGCTAACGTTTCACACAACTGTGGTAAAGCTGCTGTGGAATTGGAATAGTGAAGACCCTGAAAAACTATTTTGGTCAAGAATAAATTATCATGAAAAAACACTCAAGCAATGCAAACAAACTTTCCCCAAAAGTCCCGACTTTGGCGGTTATGGTCAAATACAAATTAAAGCGCTTGTGGACTGCTACTTAAGCCTGGGTAAAGTTTACAACAACAGAGGAAACTATGCAGAAGCTCTTCAGTCATACAAGCGAGCGTTAAACACAGCAACAAGGTCCTTTGGAGAAGAACATGAAAGCACTGCTGACAGCTACAGGCAACTCGGTGTAACACAAAACAAAATGCATGACTATAGCGCAGCTCTACAATCTCACCAGCATGCATTAGCTATCCGTATTAAACTATTTGGAGAGGAACATGAAAGCACTGCTGACAGCTACAGGCAACTCGGTGTAACACAAAACAAAATGGATGACGACAGCGCAGCTCTACAATCTCACCAGCGCGCATTAGCTATCCGTATTAAACTATTTGGAGAGAAACATGAAAGTACTGCTGACAGCTTCAGGCAACTCGGTGTAACACAAAACAACATGCATGACTACAGCGCAGCTCTACAATCACTCCAGCATGAATTAGCTATCCGTATTAAACTATTTGGAGAGGAACATAAAAGCACTGCTGACAGCTACAGGGAACTAGGCGTAACACAATTCAACATGCATGACTACAGTGCAGCTCTACAATCACTCCAGCATGAATTAGCTATCCGTGTTAAACTATTTGGAGAGTACCATGGAAGCACTGCTGACAGCTACAGGCAACTCGGTGTAACACAATACAACATGCATAACTACAGCGCAGCTCTACAATCTAAAGAGCATGAATTGCTTATCCGCATTAAACTATTTGGAGAGGAACATGAAAGCACTGCTGACAGCTACAGGCAACTCGGTATAACACAAAACAAAATGCATGACTATAGCGCAGCTCTACAATCTCACCAGCGCGCGTTAGCTATCGGTATTAAACTATTTGGAGAGAATCATGAAAGCACTGCTGACAGCTACAGGGAAATCGGTGTAACACAATACCACATGCATGACTACAGCGCAGCTCTACAATCTCACCAGCGCGCATTGGCTATCCGTATTAAACAATTTGGAGAGGAACATAAAAGCACTGCTGACAGCTACAGGCAACTTGGTGTAACACAAAACAACATGCATGACTATAGCGCAGCTCTGCAATCTCACCAGCGCGCATTGGCTATCCGTATTAAACTATTTGGAGAGGAACATGAAAGCACTGCTGACAGCTACAGGCAACTCGGTGTAACACAAAACAAAATGCATGACGACAGCGCAGCTCTACAATCTCACCAGCGCGCATTGGCTATCCGTATTAAACTATTTGGAGAGGAACATGACAGCACTGCTGACAGCTACAGGCAACTCGGTGTAACACAACACAACATGCATGACTACAACGCAGCTCTACAATCTCACCAGCGCGCATTGGCTATCCGTATTAAACTATTTGGAGAGGAAAATGAAAGCACTGCTGACAGCTACTCGGAACTCGGTGTAACACAACACAACATGCATGACTACAACGCAGCTCTACAATCTCACCAGCGCGCATTAGCTATCCGTATTAACCTATTTGGAGAGGAACATGAAAGCACTGCTGACAGCTACGCGGAACTCGGTGTAACACAACACAACATGCATGACTACAACGCAGCTCTACAATCTCACCAGCGCGCATTGGCTATCCGTATTAAACTATTTGGAGAGGAACATGAAAGCACTGCTGACAGCTACAGGGACCTCGGTGTAACACAAAACAACATGCATGACTATAACGCAGCTCTACAATCTCACCAGCGCGCATTGGCTATCTGTATTAAACTATTTGGAGAGGAACATGAAAGCACTGCAGACAGCTACAGGGACCTCGGTGTAACACAACACAACATGCATGACGACAACGCAGCTCTACAATCTCACCAGCGTGCATTGGCTATCCGTATTAAACTATTTGGAGAGGAACATGAAAGCACTGCAGACAGCTACAGGGACCTCGGTGTAACACAACACAACATGCATGACTACAACGCAGCTCTACAATCTCACCAGCGCGCATTGGCTATCCGTATTAAACTATTTGGAGAGGAAAATGAAAGCACTGCTGACAGGTACTGGCAACTCGGTGTAACACAACACAACATGCATGACGACAACGCAGCTCTACAATCTCACCAGCGCGCATTGGCTATCCGTATTAAACTATTTGGAGAGGAACATGAAAGCACTGCTGACAGCTACTCGGAACTCGGTGTAACACAACACAACATGCATGACTATAACGCAGCTCTACAATCTCACCAGCGCGCATTGGCTATCCGTATTAAACTATTTGGAGAGGAACATGAAAGCACTGCTGACAGCTACTCGGAACTCGGTGTAACACAACACAACATGCATGACTATAACGCAGCTCTACAATCTCACCAGCGCGCATTGGCTATCCGTATTAAACTATTTGGAGAGGAACATGAAAGCACTGCTGACAGCTACTCGGAACTCGGTGTAACACAACACAACATGCATGACTATAACGCAGCTCTACAATCTCACCAGCATGCATTGGCTATCCGTATTAAACTATTTGGAGAGGAACATGAAAGCACTGCTGACAGCTACTCGGAACTCGGTGTAACACAACACAACATGCATGACTATAACGCAGCTCTACAATCTCACCAGCATGCATTGGCTATCCGTATTAAACTATTTGGAGAGGAAAATGAAAGCACTGCTGACAGCTACTCGGAACTCGGTGTAACACAACACAACATGCATGACTATAACGCAGCTCTACAATCTCACCAGCGCGCATTGGCTATCCGTATTAAACTATTTGGGGAGGAACATGAAAGCACTGCTGACAGCTACAGGGAACTCGGTGTAACACAATACAACATGCATGACTACAGTGCAGCTCTACAATCTCACCAGCGGGCATTAGCTATCCGTCTTAAACTGTTTGGGGAAGAACATGCAGAAACCACTGATAGCTACAGGCAAGTCAAGATCACTCAAGACGCCCAGCGAAAGTTTAGAAAAGTGAAAAGAACAAAGAGAAATTTACAAAAATATGAATAGCACATTTTGAAGCTAAGTGATTCTTCATGTCCAAAGAATGATGGGAGTTTGTAAATATTATTCATAGGAGCAAGGATATCTTTTAGAATCTGCTTTTCAATGTATTTTCTGCTCACTCAGCATGTGAGCATAGAATGGACAGTCTCTCTTCTTTCTCAGTCTATCAAAAAAGTGCGCGAGACCCGCAAATGACGCGCGCGGACTCCCGTCATTAAATCTTAAGAAAAGGAAGACTGTTTGTAGTCTAGACGATGATCGTTAATACAGTGGAATCTGCTTTATGGACACCCGTTTAATAACGGACAGTGTCCTTTGTCCCGACACTAACTGATTATTGGAGCGGACGGTACTAGTTATTGCAATGACTGGAAACGCTATCAGACACCTTACGTTAAGGACACTAGTGATCAGTGCGCCGTATAAATCGCACCAGCGACAGCAGAAAGGCTAAACAAACGAAGGGGGGTGGGTGGGTGGGTGGGTGGGGTAGCGCATTAGCCAAGTCAAAGCTACACTTTCCCCAGCCCTGTCAGTAAATCGATACTCTATGTGCCAGAGGCTTTTCATGCGCGGTTTTCGGTTTGGGTCACGCTCGTGTCTTCGGCCTACGGCCGACGAAGCTCCTCGCCGCAAGCGAGGAAAACCCTCTGGTACCCAGGGTACCTTATTGAGTAAAACTTTAAAATAACCGCTCAAACACAATTAGAAGAAGGTGTAAATGATACAACAAATACGAAAGAAAGCAGGGATTGATAAACTTGAAGAAGATTGAAACGGATTTCAATTGTGGTTTGGGAAAACTTGTTGACCTAACAGTTTTTCAAAGTTCCTTTTTGTTGTTTGTAATTAACGATGTTGTTTTGGAGACACGAAGCTGTGATTTTGTCATTCAAAGGTAATTTCTCAAGTTTCATAGCGTAACTGTCATTAACCCTGGGACCAGGCTCCGCAGTGGGGGAAAAAGGCAAAAAACGGGGTCATATAGAAGAAGCGAGCCGAGGGGTGACCTGAGGAAGGGGAAAGGGCGGCGCCACCCTTTCCCTCCTCAGACTTCCTCTCGGCTCGCTTCGCTCGCCGATTTTTTTCTTCTTTTTCCCCACTGCGGAGCCTGGTCCCAGGCTAAACTGACATCGATGAACAAAATGATCTCCCCAACAGTGACACTGCGCCTTAAAATAGACATGGAGAAATAGTTGGTAGAGCTTAAAGCCTGGGGCTCAAAGATTCATGTAATAAGAAAATTTACGTCATAGCTTTTCAGTGAGTATATCTCAGTATGTATATAATTATAGATACTCATCCTTCACCCCATGTAAGGGAATAATCCAACACAGTCTTGGATTCTGAATTCCACGCTGTGGATTCCGGATTCCAGGTACTGGATTCCAGTATTTTTCTGTAAAACTGTAGAATTCTAAATTCCGATCGTTATTGGGATTCCAGATTCCTTGATCTGTATTCCAGATTCCAAAACTCAGGATTCCGGATTCCATAAGCAACATTTTCTGGGATTCCGGATTCCGCAACAGGGCTTAAAGTTTAAATTTGAGTTTGGGAGGACTTGTGCTACTAGATATAAATTTTTGGGCGTACTGCCGAAATTTTAGGTGCACAGCTGAAAATTTTAGGAGCACAGCTTATAACGTTGGGAGCATCTATCTGAAAAAAAAGTAAAAAGCTTTTAAGCGTTAAAACAGTGCTACGTTTATATGTCATCTTCAGTTTGTTACTTTTATTTCAGTCTCACGATTGATAAAACACAGCCGATTTGCAACGCAGTAATACCGTTGTGATTTTTAATATTTATTTTCCTTTTTGACAGTACAGTTGTGACTAAAGAAAACTTACACTTGAAACAAAAAATTCAAAACTGACAACAGTGAGTATGTCGAACGAGAGTGAAAATTTATCGTTAATGAATTTTTTAAATGCGCAATGACTTATATGTAACTGGGATATGAGTTAAAAACTTCCTTACCGGGAACAAAAGGCTCTTAATCCGCACTGTTTTTGTTTTGATTGGCCTTAAAACTGAACGTTCGACATGATCATTCATTGCGCAAAAAGCACGTGTTTCGTTGAGAGCATATTTACACGTGTCAGCGGCGTTTATTACAAAAGAGAAGAGTCTGGGATGGAGTAAAACATCGAAACGAAAACGAACATTCGAGTTTGTGGAATCCATTGGGAGAAAAGACGAATTACACATACACAGATGAAAGGAAAACAATGTAACTTATTAAAGCAATTTTCGTATGACCTTGAAATGAAAACGACCGAACAAAACAGAAACAACAAACGAGTGGGAACAGCGATTTGATTGGTTTATCGAACGGATACAAACGCGCGTGGCTTTTGGTTGGTTAAGCGAACACTCGGGTGAAAAAAACGTCAGTTCCGAGAACTTTCTAGAAATCAACCGATACTTCGCTTTGACGTCATACTGCAACACGATTAGCCAATCGAACTATGCCTTCTCCATATTAGGGTTTCTTTGGCGGGAAAACGAAGAAGCCATGTTTTGATCTTTTTATCCATTGGCTGATAAATCAAACTTACCGAGGTCAAGGTCATACGGAAATCACTCGATCGTGAAAAGTACATGCGCGAGCGGCACAAAAGGGGAGACGCGCGAGCGAAGTTCGTTTCACTCGCCCACTGATGGATAGCTTGTTCGCAGGCTGGCGAAACATTTGAATACCCCTCTGCCGTAAATAAGCTAAGTGACGAATTTTCAGTTTTACTTTAAAACTCTACAAAAAAAGACATTGGAATCAAAGAAAAACAGAAGGATAACGGCTTAGTTTCATTTAAAGTTACTCTACTACTTTGAGTGTATGCCTGAAGCTTTAATCAGCTTTAAGTACATCGTTTTCACATGTCCCTAGGCGTTCTCGGCGCGGTCAATCCTGGACTCTTCCGTGAGCTGTGACGTCACCGAGAGATACTCGCCCGCTCTTTCCCAGACTTCGCTCGGGCAACGTGGCAAGAGAGAACGCCTAGGGACTAGGCTGACGGCGGCCATATTTGTGTGCAAAACAATGAATCGGCGGCCATGTTTGTATACCAAAAAAACTCTGTGGGAATTGAACTGTTTTCACATGTTAAAACTTTTTTTTATTCCAAGCAATTTGCAAAGCTGCTGACCACGTGACCAAAAACGATCTAAAAAGATAATTTAAAGGCAAACAAATTTTTCCAATAAAACTCATGTAATCTCCATAGCCGTACAGTTAACAGGCTCATTTCTCTAACTGCATATGTACCTGGGTTAAAATAAACCTACTTGCAAAAATTCTACGTCAAGCTGTTATATTTTTTTTATAATTAACTATCGAATCATATCAATGTGTGGTGAAATTGATCAGCAGAGTTTTAATATCAGCGTGACACCCCTCTTTTTAAATTGCGAGAAATACAGTGGAATTCTGACGTTTGGAAACGTCATTTTACGCCCTTCCATGTTATGTATGTATTTATTTGTTTATTTATTTATTTATTTATTTACAGATTTAGCATAATAAACAAGTAGGCTACTCAGACGTATCATACGTTTTAAAGAAGCAATAGGTCACTATTTAAGTCATCTACGAGTTTAACCCACCCGCAATTTATAATTTATAGGCAGCTGAGTAGAAATTCCATGGACTTGTTTGCTGTTCCTAGATAAACACTGTTCTTTTACCCTAGTTTTCTGAGCTAATCCAGTGCTGTGTTACTTGGAAGGTTGGAAATGTGGGGATTCCATTGTATAATAAATGCAATCTCTTGAGCAACAGTCAAGAAAATTGTTTGATGAACTCTTAGCTATAGCTACCACTACCGAAAACGTTCTTTTAAAAATATCTAGTACTTCGTATAACTACTAACCCTTCCCCAATATAAACTACTGCTATAATTTCTTTAAAATCTCTGCTATTGTTCACGTTTTTGTCATGTATTTACAAAGTAAAATAATCTCTAAGATATAGTTTTCAGTTTCGTGTAACTGTAATGCTCTATTACATGTTAAGTTTAAGAATAATGTCTAAAAGCCATTTTCAGAGCTGAATTACTTGGTTCATTCTATCCAGAAGTATCAATAATATCCTAAATGATTCCTTGAAGTGCTTTGGCATGTTTGTCTTTGCAACGGTTTTAGAGCAAATCATCAAGAACGTTGTTGTTAGCTTTGTTAATTTAAATCTAGCAAATTCAGTAAAATACGAGCGGTCCTTCACTACCTTCAGAGACAGCCTTTTCCGGCGAGTGGGGGATTTCACGTCATCCTCCACAATCTGAACGTCTGGAAGGGACTGTCTCATGGATAATAGAGTGCAGAAAGTACGCGGGTAAAAATCGCCTCGAGACACAGGAGACACAGGAAAGAGAGACACTCGTCGACGAGACTGAGGAAGAAGAAAAAATTGAGGTCCCTCATTTCTCCTATTCCACCGCGTCTCGCCTGTCCTCGCGCACAGCGAATCTCATATACGCGCTCACGTATTTCGTGAGCCCTAATGCGGGACTAGTCGTAGTACACGGAACCAGTGCAACCTAATCCCCAGGGCTTTTCCCTCAACCCTGGGGACGAGGTTGGGAACCAGTGGAACCACAAACTTCTCTGTTCAGTTCTATGCAGGCGGGACCCGGCTTGAACTCATCTTGTTCCATGAATTCGAAACATCTCGTACTCACGATGTCCTTTTTGGGTTTGTAGTGCTGGAATTCGAAAAATGTCGCTGTACCTTCGCACGAAAGACAGAATAAAACAACGCCAAAATATATTGTTAATTATGAGGAAAAAGATTTTCTCACCATTTCAACATCTCAAAAGAAAGACACGTTCGATAGCCTTGAATTAGCCTGCGTGGAAGGCTCTGGTTAAGTTTTTTGGTTAGGTTTTATGTTCTCCCTTCGTGCGTGCGAGCGTTCACGAAATTTCTCCCTTCTCCCTTACAAAACAGGCTCATTTCAGAAGGGGTGTGGTGGCTGGTAGGCTGGTAGGTTGGTTCGTCTTT